GTTAGATTTCATTTTGGGGTAAAAAAAGATTTTTAAGAAACTTCTAAAAGAAAAACTTGAAAATTAGCATTTGAGAGCAATCTATTCTAAGATACTCTAAGGTTTATTAGGGTGAGAGAACTAAAGGCTGAAACTAATAAGTCAAAACTTCTCCTATCCCTGGTAGTTTTTTTCAGAGAGACAGACTCCCTAGAAATCCTTTGAATACAAATGTGGCGCTACAGATATGATACTTGAAGTCAGAAGACATGGCTTCAAGAACTAGCCTCACAGTTCTTTGTTTGTTTGTTTTGATAAAGGAACTGAATTTTTGGTTTTTTTTAGTTTTTATGTTTTATTAGTACATGTCTGCAGTACATAACGTGTACATTCCTTGCATGGAGTTAGTATATAACACATCTTCTTTTCTCATCCCCTTTCCCTCCCCATCCCTCCTCCTTCCATCTCTTGATCCTCTTCCCATTTGAGAAAGATCTATTTCCTTACTTTCTTTTATCTATCTTTTATTTTGCACTTTATATTGAGTAGCTCATACAAAAGAAACCACGTTATACTTAAGCTTGTTTGTCTGATTTGTTTCTCTTAACATCATGATCAAGGTGCACCCATTCTCCTACAACGGACTCAAGTTTATCCTTATTTATGATAGAGTAGTACTTCATTGTATATAAACACCACATCGGCCTCGTGATTCAACAGTTCCACCAACTTGGACAACCCTGTTAGTCTGTGTTTTAGTTCCCTGTCATAAAATATACAGTATATTCCCCAGAGAATTTTTGAAGTTTAATGAAATATTATATGTAAAAGTATTTTATAAAGAATTTTTAAAACAATACAATTGTAAAATTTTGGGGGAGGGGGTTATTAAATGGTACCTTAGACTATGGTAAGATTTGCTGAGCAAACTGAAATAACTTAAACTTTAACCTGATATCATCATGATCAAAATATCACAGATCCTTTGGGTTGAAAGGTGATTCTATATCCTCAACTTGCTGCAATCTGACTGGAATGACCAATAATACCCTTTGGATCTCTAATGCCACTCTCTCACATCTATATCCACATTCTTTCTGTTGATCTGTATAAAGGACTTCCCGTTCATTTCACTGTCACTGCTCTACTAAAATGGCCCTGATTCTAGTTTTTTCAATGCTCCATTAATACATTCTAAACATTAATGCCAGATAAATTATCCTCAAAGATTACATTCATTAAACACAACCCATTGGAGTGAAATCTGTTTTAGAAGAATCTGTTTAAGAGGTTAGGATCAGATTGGATAAACTTAAATGTAAAGGTGAGGGGTCTGTAGGCAAACTACTACCAGGTTTTCAGGAAGGAAGAATAGGTGTGAAAAGTTTTATCAAATGAAGATTAACCAGAGCACAGGATTGAACTGACACTGGGTTGTAAGTGTAGGTGTGGAGGAAGGTAAAGAAAGAAGAAACTATGAGTCCCTTCTAGGAAAGTACTACATTCATGTCAAGCTCCATTCCTAGTATTCAGAATAAGAGTAGACACTGTGGAGTCTGGCAAGTCCATTTGCTTAAAAAACACTAGATCTTAAGTGTCTCCCTTTGGGAATAGTTTCAGCATTTCTACTATTTTAAATATTATAGTACCTTGGTTCATGAACTTAACTAGAAAGAATGGTGAAAAGAATTAAATTCATAACTGAGGTACCACTGTATTTGCCTACATACCAAATTGGAAAATGTGATTGTATCTAATTTTTATATATTTTCAGTCTGTACTAATGAGTCAAGAATATAAAATTATTGGAGAAAAATACTGATTTTCTACTAATTTATAAATATATATAAAGATTTACTCTTTACCCAATAGTATTTGAATGAATTTTAGAATGTCAGTATTCTTTAACAATGAATGATTTAAAAAGTCAACTACTGTATCTAATATACTGTATCTCATTTCTTAATTTCAGATGAAACATTTTAGTACTCCCTACATTTGATACATTTATATATTTTAGATAACTGCATGACATTTTAATATTTAGTATGTACCCTATAGTTAAAATCTCTGCCAGTTTTTCTGTTTATGTTTTGAAACAGTCTCAAGATGTAGTTTAGGCCGGTCTTGAACTATGTAGCTCAGGCTGGCCTTGAACTTATGGCAATCTTCCTGCCTCAGCTTCCTGAGCACTGGGATCTGCTAGCTTATTAGAATTTTTATAAAACTTGAAAATTATGATCAGATAAGTCTTTCACCTGAAAACGAAGAAAATTCTTGTATATTTCTTGCTGTTTAATCTGAAGTTCAGTTGGAGGCTCACCAAATATATTTCCCCGAGCAAAAGGAGAGCTCTGTGTTTGCACATGACCTTCAAAAAGACATTTTGCAAAAGCATACCATCAGGAAACGTTAAACTTAAAGAAGAGTTTTCTAATAAACCCATATTTTGAAAAACTGTGCTAAATACAAACATCCAGAGGTCAACACCAGAAGAAAAATGATCAAACTCTAATCTGAAGATCAAATGAAAAATACCAAGAAAAGGAAAAATAGTAACACTAAAATAAAATTAATATTTGAAAATCATATTGTATCTATAACAGCTAAAAGACATCAAGGGAATATAAAAGCTAATAGCCTAAATAAGTTGCCTCACAGCAAAGGCTGTGAATTAGAATTTATAAAAAGAAAAAATATATATTTAAATTTTATGTATATGAATACCCTCTACTTAATAATAGTTCTTAGTGACATATTAAGTATATTATGTAAATATGTATTAAAAATTTCTGAAATTATTTTTAGAAGTCAGTAATTCTAAAATTCTTCCCAACATTGACTTGAATATAGCTTATAAAGTCAGCAATAAGAAATTAAAATGAGTCTTAATCATTGTAACAGTTTTTATTTTTAAAACTATTAAATGGATATTGATACGAAAAATTTTAAAAATTATTACATGTTATCTATACATAGCATTTTATATATTCTTGAAGGGAAAAATTATTTCATAAAAGCAATTTGGAAAGCAATTATTCCATTTGAGTATCTTTGAATGTAGCAAGAAAAAAATGGTATTTAAATTTAAGCATCACATAACTTTTCATATTATTTTTGAGTTACTAATTCATTGTTAATATTATCAATCTAAAACATTATTTCCCATACTCATGTCATTTTGTATAGGGAGACTGCTTTGCAATTTAGCTGTTATTCAGGTCTATTTTGCCTTTGTATTCAAATTTATTAATGGTTATTTGAATAAATAAGCAGAAAGTCAAATCAAGACTTAAACATCATGAATACTCTTCTCCACTAGAAAATGTTCCTAATGAAAACTAAATATACACCATGGAGGTTCTTTTAAATTTTATGCAGTGTTGGAAAAGCTGATTAGCAAAACAAAATTGAGTGGTATCTTTCATCTTTATTTTATTTATTTATTTTTTTTGGTACCAGGGATCGAACTCGGGTCCTTCCGCTTTCAAGGCAGGCGGCAGAAACACTGAGCTAAATCCCCAGCCCGTTATCTTTCATCTTAATGATCATTTACATTCTAAACATTTAGGACAATTAAGAAAATATATTAGAGACAAACAAAATAAATCTTTTTAGAAATAACTTTAAAAATGAAGCCATGGGAAAACATTTACTCTATACAAAGAAAAGATAAATATATCTAGTAATTGTAAGCCAAAAAATATATTTAAGCCAGATCAGTACTGGACTTTACAAAGAGTAATTCATCTAAGAACCATAAGTGAAAGGAAAGGGAAAAACCAACAGAATATTATGAAAGTTCTGAGAAATAGACCTAGTGATGAAACATCAGAGGACAATGAACCTTAAGCTACATTACAACATGAGATTTTCAGATATATTTGAATACCCTAACACCTTTAAAAAATATTAAATGCCAGCCCCTGCCTCTCAAGCGCAAGGTCCCGAGTTCGATCCCCAGTACCAAAAAAGAAAAAAGATTTAACGTAGCTTGCCTTGGTGGCACATGCCTATAATCCCACCTACTCAAAAGGCTGAAGCAAGAGGATCACAACTTCCAGGCTAGCCCGGACACCTCAGTGACAAGTCACAAAAAGAACTTTAAAAGGGGGTGGGGGGAACTGGGGATGTAGCTCAGTGATAGAACCTTTACCTAGCATCCACAAGGCTCTGGATCAATCAATCCTCAGTCTCAAAATAAAAAAATAAATAAGGTAAAAAGGTATATGTGCACACAAGTATATAAATAGCTATATAGATATAAATATCTATAGATATGTATAGACAGATATACATATACATATGAATATATAAATACATAAGGCATAGCACAAATTAGACAGCTTTGAGTAGTTTCTTGCATTTAGAAAGTTTATTTTGGGTTAATTCTTAGGGAAATAACTTTTAATATAAGAAATTTTAAATCACAAAAAGAGGAAATTTTAAACATTTTGAGGTTTTTAAAATGATTCCTTAAAACAACATTCTGGCAACATCACCAGCACAAAAATCTGATGGCAGGACAGAAAGGCTATAGACAAGTTTTCCTGTGCATATCCAGTCATCAGGCTTATTCTCTTAGGAAGGAGTCATAGAAACTATTGATTTTCTAGTGTTTTTGCTTAGTGAACAGAGCTAGTTGCCTAAAAGTGTTACTAACAAAGAGTAAGTTCTAGGCTAAGATATAACTACAAATAATAATGGCTATGAAAGAAAAGGGTACAGGGGAGATCCAAAGCACTGAGATTTCAATCCAGACTACTAGAAGCAGCAGCAAATGAGGAAGAGAAAAACAATAATAATAAGCCAAAATTCTCTTAATAGCAGTAATATGAAAAAGTATATTGATGATCCTACTATACATTGAATTATTGCAAATTAAGAGAGCAAAATTAGTAATTTCATCAAGATCAAAGATGTCAATCTTAGTGCTACAAAAATCAAAACTGGACTCAAAGGGTAAAAATCTACATGTATTATAGGTCAAAGAACTACCTTCTCAAAATTAAGAGATCAAACAATGAAACAGGCTGCCCACACACAAAAAAAGCAAACAACCCATCTTTTAAATTAAAAGGCTGCAGAGATTAAAGCTACCATGAAAGACTTGAAAAATGATACAGCTAGTATCATTAATTACAGCTCCCTATTTAACCTGACTGGTTAGACAGTAAGTCATATGAGGAAGAAAAAAAACCTGTAAGATTAGTCATGAATATATTAGAAAAACTTCCTAATGTACAGTTCTTTTTGAGGCCATAATCAAAACTTCTGTGAATCCACAAAAACAGTTTTGCAGGAAATAAATGTATTTTTATTTGCATCAGAATATAGTACAAGGAGTAGATGCTTTAAATTTCCTTTAATTTTTAAATATAACATCTTTTCATATATTCTTTAAAAAGATAATGACTTTTCCTAGCAAGTCATAAAAATGATACTGAATAATTTCAACTCATAGAACCTTTGATTAAGAGATGCGGTTTAATAGTAAATCAAGTATAATTGATTAAGAAAAAGGGATGTGATCAGATATTGACTTTTTAATTACTTGCCTTATACACTGTGCTTTTACAAGGAAGGGTAAATGATCACTAAAACAAGCAAAAAAAAAATCTTCTTATACAATTTATCACAACATACCTGATACCTTGTCACTAATTCAATCAATCATGAGTGTAAGAAGTAAACTGTGTATGTGCAACTGTTTGATTTTAACTAGCAAAATAAGAATGTTAGCAGCAGCTAAATATGGCAAGTTACAAAGCTGAGAAGAATTACATAGTATTAAGAAGTAACCTTTCCCTGTTCAACTTTTTTCAAAATAACTATAATGAAAATGCATTATATATAACAATAATGGGCTATCCCTGCCTGACTCAGAATAACCAAATTCTCAAATCACAATAAGAACTCTGGAGCTCTGCCAAATAACAAAAGAGATAAGATACTGAACAACTTTAGAAATGCAAAAGAAAAAAAATAGAATGTGATTAAAAACCTGGGTTTTTATTTGCAGAATCTTCTAGGTTCTCAGCATTTGAAGTGGCTAAATTTTGGTCTAGAGATACAACAGCCCTTTTATCTTCATATGTTCTTGCATCTGGGTTATGGTAGGCATCTATATTTTGTTTGTGCATCCTATTCAAATCAGCTGAGAGGGAAAAATAAGCCATTTATTTTAATAAACACATTTCTATAATTTACTGGTAACCTTAATATATTTTCTTAAAATAGAGAATAAGAGAAAAAAATAATAGGACAAATCCAAGAATAATTCAGTGATAAGTTAGTGCCCTGAAAACAGAAGCAAAATTATCAGAACTTTGATATTTTCAAAAAATAAACATACAAATAAACTCAAAATTAGTAGAGAAATTAAAGATATATAAATCTTTGACATTCCATAAAGCCATACTGACAGTTACTTCAGAACTTAAATTCAAAACAAATTATAGTGAAATTTACTCAAAATCATCAGCTCCCTTGATAAAATCAAATATACATGTGGAGTGTAGTTTTAAAATACATCCACAAATTCTTTGACAATCCTGAAATGGTGGAACTCAATACTTTTTCCTTTCAGTGTGGTCCAGAATTAGTAATTCATAACTTTTGACTGGGATACTGTAAAAATTATGGTATATGACTTCCAAGGCTAGTTCATAAAAGACATGGTTTCCAACTTGCTTGATCTACAGATCACTTACTCTCAGAAAGACAAATGCCATATCATAATGACACTGAAGGAGTCCTATGAAGAGGGCATTTTGGCAACAAACTGAGCCCTCCTGAGCCATGCTAAGGAGCCATAAAGGAAAGAGATCTTCCAGTAGTCTGGGGCCCTGGCTGATTACAGCTTCAAGTGAGAGCCTAAGACAAACTAACCAGCAAACTACTCACAAATTATTGACTCACAGAATTTCAAATGCTAAGTTTTTATCATTTTAAAACACTACGTTTTGAAGGCAGTTTACTATATAGCAATAGATAATGTAAAATACACAGCAAAAGCCTGAGCACCAGAACTGATCCAAACAATCAATCCCAGAAGCAGACTTGAACATCTGCAGAACTCAAAAGCTTTACTTAAAGATACAAAGTAGCTTTTCTTTCCCACTCCCCCCCCAAAAAAAAACCTGGGATAGTATGGCAGCAACGAAAGTGACCTTTAAATCCCAATATAAGTATTTATCAGGAAGTACGTTATATTCAAGGATGCATTTTGAACATGAATCACAATTAGAATACCAGACAGAACATGGTAAATAACATGAGAATGTTACAAAGAGAATGGAAGTTCAGAACCAAGAAAGTTCACATCTTGCTATAACATTTACAGCAGCTTAAGCTTAGAAAATGGATAGGTGCTTCAGAGGTAAAGATGAGTGGGAAAGAATAATAAAGAAATAGAACCATGTGAAAAAATAAATATGAAGAGTGTTCTGGCCTATAGCACAACGTACATAAAAGAGAGTGACAAATTTTTAAAAACCTATAGATTACATGCCTATTCTGAAATATTCTAAAATGCATAATAACATTTCTCAAATTTGTTCCGCAGATGGTAATGGACAGTTTTTCAGAAGTTATTAAAGTATTATTAGTAATAATGGCAAGCAACATTAAAAGTTCACCATTTCATATACTATAAAATAACTCCTATGGTACTATATCATATATAAGAAAAATGAACTAAATTAATTTGTTCAAAGATCACAAAGTGAGTAAATAGCAGAGCAAGAATGTAAACTTGGGAAGATTCCAGAGTCCTCAATAATCTTTGAGTATGGAATAAATTGGTCAGATTTTTTATACATGTTATGGTATGTATGTGAAAAACAAAGGAGAATAAAGAAGTAGTAATGAGGAAATGGTAACAACCCAGGTAAACAGAATAAATCTCAATTATGGTAGTAGGACAAATTAAAAAGAGAGTTTAAGAAACATTAAAGAGACAGAACCTATATATTAGGTTTTACTGAATAACTACATGTGGAAAGTCAAAAGGACTCTGCCAACTTTCAGTATGAATGATCAGAATTATGGTGCCATTAACAGAAAAAGCACATAAAGTTGAGCTTGATTTTAAACATCAATTTTGCATGCTAGGTATAAATAATCTACTAAACATCAAGTGCAGCGATGGCAAAGACAGACTGAAAATGAAATTTTTCAAAAGTAATCAGGGGGACTGAGGATGTAGTACAGTGGCGCTGTGCCTGCCTGGCAAGCGCAAGGTCCTGAGTTCGATCTCCAGTACTGAAGAAAAAAAAAAAAAGGTACTCAGGTACAACAGACAGAGAGAGATTTGAAGATCATCTGTAGAGAAAGCCTAAGGAATTTCAAGAGAGATGAGATGAGGTGGGAGAGAATGAGTATGTCTCTGACAAGATCACATTCACAGATTGAATTTAATCTCATTTATACATCCAATAAATGGTAACCAAAACAAAAGAAGACATTGCAGAGCATACACAGTACTTAAAGAAAGGAAAGAACTGCCAAACCATTTCAAAGAGGATATGGTCGAAGTAAAAAACATTAAATTGAAATTAGGCCAATTACTTTGGAAAACACAGCATTACAAAGGGCTAAAAACTAGAAGTCATATTATGGCTTAAGCAATAAGTGGTAAGAAATGGTAGCAAACAAACATAGACTTATAAAAATGTGTCTTATCTGATAAAGGAAGCAGCATGATCAAGAGCAGAGTACTTATTTGCTTGTACTTAAGAATACAAGTGATCTCAACATATTCAGAGATAGAGGGAAAGAAATGAATAGAAAAGCCTGTAAATACAAGAGAGAGCGACTAGGTGAAATCTTAAGAGAAAAGTTGATTACAAAGCAGGAAGGTGTTCCTGAAATCATCACGAAATCCTGTCTGCTATTGGGATATGACAGAAAAATAAAAAACAGAAAGATGAGAAAATTGAGATTACAAGTAATGTTATGGCTTGTGTCTAGATGTCCTCCCAAAGCCTCATGCAGTCATAGATGGGGCTTTTCAGAGGTGGTTGGATCTAGAGTGTGATGCTGGAATCAAGGGTGAGTGATTACTAAATGAGTACACTGATTGGTGTGGCATAGTTCTGTGTGTGGATAATGGGAAGGCCTACCCTGGGCATGAGTAATACTTGCGCTAAGGGCATGTACCCTGGATAGAATATAAGGGACAGAAAGAGGGTTGCCGTGGTCAGTTTCTGCTTGTCGCTCATCACTTGCTGCTTGCTACTTTGATGCTTTCTGCCTGCCATGAACTGTTTCTCCTCTGCCATGCCCCTCTACCATGTCACCTGCCTTGGAGCCAGCCGATTATGGACTAAAACTTCTACAAACTGTGAGCCAAAATAAACCTTTCCTTCTTTTAATTTGAGTGTCAGGTATTTTGTCTCAGCAAAGACAGCTAACAACTGTGGTCCCTTGAGAAATACAAAATAAAAGTGACTCAAATGGGAAATCAATCTCATAGTCATGGAATTCACTAGACCAGCATAAGACTGGCCTATGTAAATAAGAAATTAACTATAATATTACACAGAGTATCCTTCTATTTTTTCTACTAATAGACAGTAGTATATAGAGTACACTCATTCCAGGATGACACCCACAGCACTGCTGCCAAACAAGTGAATGCTTAGGGAATGCATGTCTTAATTTAATAGTTACCTCACAAACCATATGCTAAGATATAAATATCCTATAAGTAAACACTGTAATAAACTTCAAAGTCAGCAACACAATTTACTGTTGTGATTATATGTAAGTCTCCCAGTTACAATAATATACAATGTACTTATATCACTAGAATACATAATTATTAAAGATTTAAGATTATCAGATTTAGCAACAAAGTTCATATTGTTAAAAAAAAAGGAAAAAAAAGGATTTGTCGGTCACTTGCTCACTCCTTGTCCATCTTTCTGTGAAGGGGTAAAATAAAAGGTCTGAGATTAGCTAACACATGACAAAAAGAAATAAAGGTTATTTGGCTATGAGTGTAATTTGCCAACTCAGAACATAGGATTTTATGTTAAATGTAAACCATTATTTAATTTAAAAGTGTTAGCATTACAAGCATAATTCTAAAACAGTACAACAACAGAAAAAGATTCACGAGTGGGAAAATAATTCTACTCCCTGAATAATTAACCAGACTAGGGCTAACCTATGTGATCTTATAGGTAAATAACACATAAATTAGAAAGAAAATGGAATAACAACATGATTTTTAAAAAAGAACTTATGAAAAGGCCACAGCTATCATAACGGTGAAAGATGAACACTTTCCACTGAAAAGTCAGGGATATGATGAGGATGTCTACTCATGGTTTCTAAATATTGCACCAAATCAGTTCTAAACAAGTGTAAGAAGAAAGTACAATAAATAAAAGGTGAGAAGAACTATCTTTGTTTATAGATAACCACAAGTGACTCCACAGAAAAATAGTAAAAAATCTACAGAAAAATATTAAAACAAATGACTTTAGCAAGAACACAATATATGGACAATGAGCAAAATTAAACTATATTTCTACATAGCATAAACAAATAGATACTGAAATTTTTAACATACTTTTTTTTTTGGTACCGGGGATCAAACTCGGGTTCTTGCGCTTGCACAGCAAGCGGTGAAACCACTGAGCTAAATCCCTGGCCCAACATACTTTTTAAAATAGTTTCAAGACATGAAATACTTGAAAAAGAACAAATTTGGAGGGTTTATACTTCTCAATTTAAAAATTTAGGCATAAGGACAAATGCATATAATAGGGTCAAGTGATTTTTGACAAAGATACCAAGCCAGTTCATGTAGAAAATGTTCTCAAATTGCATGAGTATAGCATAATTTTGTAAATATACTGAAAACTACTAAATGATACACTACACAGATAAAATGTGAGGAACTGGATCTAAAGAAAGCTGTTATATATAAACACAGGTTAGATAGAACTATCACAGACTACAGAAGATTGAAAAAGATATGACAATGAAATGCAGTATAGGATCTTGGACTAGAGCCTGGAAAAGAATGAGGACATGGGAGGGTAAATCAAAATAAAGTCTATAATGTCATCAATTATATTATACCAATATTAATTTCCAGTTTTGATCACTGTGCCATGATTATATAAGATGTTAATATTAGGAGAAATTGGGTGGATATTCTTTATACACTTTGCAATTCTTCTGGAAGTCCTAAGTCTTTGTAAAGAGGAAGGGGTGGAGGGGTTGAAGGAAGGGCAGGAGAATGGGGAAAAAATAAGAACCAAGATACATCATGTAAAGGTACAAGCTCCCGATGATAAATGTAACTGTATTGTATACCTAAAATGTACCAATAAACTTTTTTTTTTTGGTACTGGGGATCGAACTCAGGACCTTATGCTTGAGAAGCAGGCGGCAGAACCATGAGCTAAATCCCCAGCCCTGTACCAATGAACTTAATAGAAAAAAAAAAAAAAAAAAAAGGCAAAAAAAAAAAAAATTGAAACATCCCTACACTCTTAAAAGAATGGTATGATCCCCGGTACAAAAAAAAAGAATGGCCAAAATTTTAAAGATGCTAATAAAAATTCAGAACAACTGGAAATGTAGTGCTTTTCTAGTGGGAATAAAAAAGGCACAACCAATTTAGAAAATGGACTGGCAATTTCTTAACAAACTTAAATGGCCCTGCTATACAGTCCAGTGACCCCATTCCTAAGCATTTACCCAAAAGAAATGAAAACCTAACATTATCACCAAGACCTATATGTGAATGTTTATAATATTTTTATTTTTAAAACTTTAAATTGGAAACAATCCAAATGTCCATCAGCTGATAAGCAGATAAACAATTATGATACCTCAAACATATAGTACTAAGTAATTAAAAAATAGTGACATATGCACTAACATGGATGAATCTTATAAATATTATGCTAAAAGAAAATTGTCAGAAACAATAGGTAAGACTATGGTGCCAGAAAGTAGATCACAGCTTGGTGGCAACAGATGATTGTACAAGACTGACTGACTATGAAGGGACAAATGAAACTGTGCAGACCTGGAAATACTCTCTATCTGGATTATGTTGGTGGTAGTTATTACGACCAGTTGTCAAAATTGACAAAATTTTGAATGTAAATTTTATCTCAATAAACAACACAAAAACAAACATAAATCTAACTAGGGTAATAGACTACATAAAACACAAACATTAAAGGATATATGAAGAAATCTTTAGCCAAGTATGGTGGCACATACCTGCATTCTGCAAGGCTGAGACAAGAGAATCACAAGTTTGAGCCCAACCTGGGCAACTTGGAAACTTAGCTAGACCCTGTCTCAAAATTTAAAAAAAAAAAAGAGGGCTGGGAATGTCACTCAGTATGAAGTCTTGGATTCAAACCCTAGTATGACTAAATAAATAAATACATAAATGTGCTTAATCATTTTACTAATCTATTATAATCTATTTAGAACTATAAGATATTTTTGGCCATCTTTAGAAGTGGCTAAGTTTTTAATTTTATTGTTTTATTTTTACTGACTTTTTTCTGTTGAATAGTTTAAAATTTTAACTCAATAGAGTTTCACATAACATCACTATAATCGAGATATAGAAAAGTTCCATTACCCAAAAAATGTTCCATCATGCTATTGCTTTAGTTATTCCCTTTCCCCATCCATAAATCCTGGCAAACATTGATTTGTTCCCCTTGCCTATAGTTCTAAATGTCATGTAATGGAAACATTCATGTATAAGTAATCTTCAGAGAAGGGTTTCTCTTGCCTGCTATAATTCCTATGAGAGTCTTCCAAATTGTGTGTATCAACAGTTTATTATTTATTATATCCCACTATATGTTTATCCATACATGCACTGAAAGACTTTACAATATGTGTGTCTTTATGGAAACTTAATAAAGAACTTTAACGAATAAATAACTGAGAAAGGAAACACATAAGTATGGTAAAAATAAAATAAGAGGTATTTACTTTAAAAGGTTTGATGCTATCTTTACAGTTATGAGAACAGCAGATTTTGATATTTCATTAATAACTACTTTCCTTTAAAAAGAAATCTTGAAGAGCTAAGAGTAAAGATTTTATTTCTTTAGTTTCAAAATGAACAAAGATCCCGAGTTCAATCCCCAGTACCAAAAAAAAAAAAAAAAAATGAACAAGAGGAATAATTAGAAAAACCAGCAGCAGAATTAAAGTTAGCCAAAATAAAGTATACAAAATATATGGTCTTGGGCATCACACTGCCCCTTATTATACATTTGAAATATAATAATACAAAAAACTGTGCTTCTTCTTTCTCTAAAATATAGTCCACACACACAAAACAAACTAATACTCCTTAAGTGTTGCATTTATTTCCTTTGAATATATTATTTATAAAAGAATATTATTTTGTTTGATAAATAGAATACCTTATCTGGCATAGCTACAGTATTAAATGAGCAAAATATATATTACTGCTAAAAATATAAATCTCAGAGAAGTTTTCTCAATTTCCTGCTAGGTCAAGCATTTCTAAAGCAACATTTTATAATTCAAAAATCCACACTTTCTCTATTTATTTCTACCAATTAAATACACACAGAATCCCATAATTTTACTGTTTGAACTGTAAATAATCTTAGCCTTAAAAGTTCTAGGAAATTAGTCTATTTCCAATGTTTTAGTCACTCAAGCACCTCTCTCATGGTAACCAGTTTATTTCTATCAATTCACAACTTAGAGTTCCTATTATAGCAAAGACTAATGATATGCTTATGCTTATCAACTCTGGGCTCTCCTCCTAGGCATAAAGAAACCTAAACTTACCAGCCACTCAAGCTATAATCTTCCTATAAACTGGTCTGAGTAACAGAATGAAGTAAAAAGTGATATTCTTCCACTTCTAGGCCAGGACCTAACAAAATCCTCAACGTGTTCTCACTAGCCACTGGGTCTAGTCTGTGCAGCTAGAAGTAAAGGATCCTAAAATGGAGCAGTGATACAAAGGAAGAGGTTTCAGATTCCTGAGCTATCTCTTGGAGGAGAACCACCTAAACAGTATCAGAATGTGACATAAGTGAGAATTTGGGCCTCTTTGTTTCTATTAACTGCCATTTAAAGTAACAGTATTTTTCATTAACTGAAGTATTTTGTGGAGAATTAATGGCAATGTGTCTTTTACTGGAATATTTTGTTTTTAATTTAAACATTCATGGTATTATTTGATCACACCTCATGTATCTTTAAAAGTATATATTTAACAAGGAATAAAATCCATAATATGTAAAAATACACATCAATCATCTCATTTCATCACTTATCCCTATAATATGTAACATCTGAAGAGTACATGGAGTCTACATTTTTGACATTTTAAAAGATACTTTCAATTATCCTCTCTCATTTTTAATTTAATAATTTTCAAAAACCCATTATCTTTACTTCCCTTTTTCTGCTTAGCTACAAACTAGTCAGATCTATCTTAATATATGCAAGTTATTTAAACCATCTTTTTCAAAGTTTGTGTTGTGCGATTATTAGATACATAATCGAAAGATAAATTAACATAATTCCACAAGCTAGTAAAAAATTCTGAGATCAAATCTTTTTTTCAAAGATCTTGCATTGAGTAGGTATCTTCCAATTATGAATTAAAAACAAGATTTTTCCCCACAACTATTCTAGTATATTTGTTTTTAAGATGTATTACTAATCTAAAAAACACACAAAAACTTATAATATGAGTTTTATTAGTTTTACTAAAAATTAAATATTCTAGGTCCTAGTCTGGGTAAATATCAACTAAGATGAACTTTTCTCTGCAGTTAGGATTCTATCAGGTGATGAAAAATTTGTAATAAAAGTAAATGAATAAGTTTATTCCAAATGATTCCCATCTTTTTCTACTCTCCACTCTTTTAAAAAGTTAAAAATAACTTAAAACAAACCCATGGAAATAGCATACTTATCAAATTTCCTTCTGCATCCCTCAGAGGAGCACCACCTCCACTCTTCCCCCAGGGGTTGTAAATTCTCATTTCAGCTTCCAGTTTAGCTTCATATTTTTCTTTTTCTTCACGTTCTTTCTTCCTTCTTTCTTCTCTTTCCCGAATCTTAACAACATAAGATATATTTTAAGTAAGAGCTGACAAGTATGCTAATAAAGAGGTTGGTGATACAAGATATTTTATTTTTCTGATTAGGAAAAAAAATGGAGATACTTTTCAGTATGTTTCATACATTTCACTCTCCAGTATGAAATCACAAATACATGTAATACTGAAAAGCACTTAAATGGCCATAGCCACTGTTCCCCCTAGACCATGCCACCAGAGGCCTCTCTAGCCAGTAAAGCCATCTGAGACTCACCAGAGCCATTCTCTTCTCAACCTCACCAGTTCCGTGAAACCACTAGGGTCGCGCTCATTTTCTATCTGCCCTTTCATTGTAACTGCCCAACCCCAAAGTCTACTCCCTACTTCACCAGACCTATCCACCCTGGTCAAATTCACAGAATCAGAATTCAGAGAAGTAAATGTCCAACACTTCTGGGATAGTACTAGACTACTTTAAGTACAGCTTTATGAAAGCACTCAAAGAAATATATTCTTAATCACCAGATGTAATCACAGGATTCTGTGATCGGCAAGGAATAAGAATCCGTATTTTATAAAGTCACTTTTAAATTCAAAAACATAGACATAATAAATTTAGTTACCCTTTCATAGCATAAGTCAACACATAAAATGATTTCTAGAGTTGAAAAATCTAGTTTTGTCAGCGGTATTTTTAATATGCTCAAAATTTGAATTCAAAATTCAGTACTTATTAGTGGACTTCTAACATACAAAAAATGATGATGGTAAATCTACAATTTTAAAGATCATTCTTTCCAGAAGGCTTCTTTTCCTATGTAAAAGTTGAATAAAATACATTAAAAAGAAATCTAAGTGGGATTATAAAAAAAAAAACCCTCAGTTTAAATTTATATCCATAGGAAGAGTCCCAGGGCCCTCTCAAAGATAACTGAATTGTCCCCCCAAAAACCCATACATTTAATAGTTACTCTTAATACTCTTAAGTAAACTCTCTTCAAACAAAACCACTGTCCTCTTCCCTAAACATGTTCTGCTACATGTACTCCCTATTTTAGTTTATAGCCTTATTATTCTCTTGATTAGAGCACTCAAAAGCATCTATAAGCCCTCTGTTCTTTCTCATTCTCTATATCTATATCTTGTCAGTGAAGCCCTAGAATTATTTCTTCAGTGTCCACCCTACTTCTCCATCCAGTGCAGGGACTTATCACCTCCTGGCTGAGTACCTCCATAGTTTACTAAGAAATCTCCATGCCGTATCTCTTTCTCAATCATCCACACCACAATCAGTCATCTTCCTGAAAGCCAAATCTGCTCAATTAATTCTTTCTCTTTTGGCTTAAAAGTCCCTTTCTTTAGCTGTTCATAAAAGGATAAAATTGAAAGCCCCTTAATTATCTAGTCCTTTACAATCCAGCACAACCTAACTCTGCAGTTCTTTCTTTCAAATCATTCCATGAATAACAGCAATATCTAACCTATTCATCATACAACATCATCATCTAACCTATCAATTACCATGTGAAGCCTTCCCAGTTGCCCAATTACTCTCCTTATCCTATGCTTCCAATAGCTTTCCAGTATATCTACATCAAATCTTACAATGTTGAATCACAATCAACCGGCATTTTTCCTTCCCTGCCACACTCTGATTTCTAAAGGACCACTGTGCTAACAAATAAGATATTCAACATTAAATGAACGAGTAAGTACCTGCTGCTGCAAAGCCTCTTGGTAAGACTGAAGTGACTGTTTGGAAGGTTTTGGTTTATCTTCAAAAGTCAGTCCTGAATTTACCACTGGATCACTTGCAATTTTCAGTTCATTCTGTCCAACTGTATTCCTACATCGAATAAACAATTAATTTGAATTGAAATTATTCAAGAATAAGAAAATTCAAGAAGAAAATTCAACAGTCATTTGAAACAGTATGGCACAAAAAAAAAATATTTTAAAATAGAAAAGGAGACAGCCATGGTTGCACACACATGTAATCACAGCTACTCAGTAGACTGAGGAAGAAGGATTAAAAGTTAAGAGGTTGGCCTGGGCAACTTCACAAGATCCTGCCTCAAAATTTGTTTGTCTTTCTACTGAGGAAAGAGCCCAGGGCCTTCACACCAAGCAACATTCTCAGATCTTTTCAAATTTATTTTGAGACAGGGTTTCGCTAAGTTGTTACGTTCCCTAGGCTGGGCTGGTAATCTTCTCAGAGCCCCAGCCTTCCCAGAATTCTGGGATTACAGGTATGTGCCACCATGACCAGCTTCAAAATTAAAGGGGCGGGGGGGGGGGCGGTGCTGAGGATGTAACTGAGTGGCAGAGCTTTGGCTTTGCATTATGAGGCCCTGCTTTCAATCCTCAGTACCACAAGTAAATGGAGCGTTGAATTTTCTCTTTAAGGCAAAGAGGAATGCTTAAGCAAGTAACCCCTTCATAAACTCTCCCCCTCCTTCCTCTGCTTTGACAATCCATAGAATTTTCAAATCTATCGGTCTATTTCTTGACCTAGGTGGCAATTACGTGGGAGTGAAAATATCCTGTAATAATTCACCAAGCAATACATATATGGTTTAAGCACTTTTTTGAACAAACAGAAAAAACAAACCTGAAGTCCCTCAAGTAACACCATAATAATGACTTAAAGAATAATTTAATAAAATTTCTTTCTTACCATTTCCAAAATAAAACAATATAAAGTCTGACTGTTCCAAATAAAAGCTTTCTCATCTCCAAAAGCAGTATCACTTAAAATAATATTTCCTCTCTATATTTAATCTATTCAACTTATTAATAATCTTTTATATTTGCATGTACTGTCACATTGGATTCAGAATAGTTCCCAACAGACCTAATACTTCTTCAGAGCAAATATACTGGCTATAAATTATATGGTAGACAGATTCTCTCAGTATCTATTTCGTTCATTATTCTTCCTATCTTCCAACCCATACTATGGGCCCAAATTGTTTGTAATCAGATGCAGATGAGAAAAAGGGAGGGGGTGTTAAATATGATTCAGTGATTCATTCAATGATTTATTTAAAATTTAGCAAATTGTGGTAATGCAACCATTACCACAATCTAGTCTTAGAACATTTCCATAACCCAAAAATATCCCTTATACCCATCCCAACCCAATCCCTGCTCTCACCCTTACCCCAAGCAATCACTAAGTAGTCTAATTTCTGTGTCTATAGATTTGCTCTTTTTGGACATTTCACATAAACTAAAATCACACAATACATATGGATTCCTTCACTGAGCATAATATTTTTGAGATTGATGTATGTTGTATCAGTAGTTCAATCCTTTCTATTGCTGAATATTACTTCATGCACAGATTAAAATATTTTGTTTATCCATTCACACACTGATGGACATTTGAATCATTTCCATTTTTTGGCTGTTATGCTATTGTTACCGGGTTCTGATTCTGGGGTCCCCTTCTCGAGGTGTTTTCTAGGTTCTGTCTATCCTGAACAAAGACTTGGTCAAGACAAGCACAAAAGGTAGCAAGGTTTTACATTTATTAATGGTAGGAAAAGAAACGTGCTCTGCAGTCTTTCACACTGGGAAAGACAGAACACAATAACTGAGAGCTAAATGGCAGTCATATTTTCTATCTCCCATTCCTCAAGCTGACATCAGATCTAGGCTGTGCTATCAAACACCCGCTTCTGAGCAGAACTGAAGATAGCATTCTCTATTAGGTCCTAGGTACAGGGCTTTGGGAACTGTTTTGCTGCACATTTCTTGGATCTCTCTTATTGACAGGTCGTACCCACTTGCTCAGCCAGTTTGCCACACCCTAATCTCCTGCACTATATGAATATTCACAAACAAATCTTTGTATGTACATATATTTTTAATTATCTTAATTACATACATAGGAATGGAACTACAGAATTATATGGTGTTAGGGGCTATATCTAGATGTTCTCCCAAAAGCCTCATAGGTGGGGCTTTTGGGAGGTTGCTAGATTATGGATGTGTGATAACTAGATGAGCCTACTGATTGATAGGTTTAGCACAGTGCTGGGTGTGGATAATGGGAAGTCCCATCCTGGGTATGGGTGGCACCAATCAATAGGCTTGTAGCCTGGATGGGATAAAAGGGAAAGGAAGGCTCCATCCTGCTGCTACTTCCTCCCTGACATGCTATAGACTGTTTCTTCTCTGCCATGCCCCTCTAACATGCCACCCTGTCTTAGAGCCAGCTGACTATAGACTGAAATCTTTTTGAACTGTGAGCCAAAATAAACCTCTCCTTTAACTTGTGGGCATTGGGTGTCTTGTCTTAGCAATGAGGGAGTAACTTTTTAAAGAAACTGCCATTTCCTACAACTGTCTTTTGAAAGAGGGTCTCTCTAACATAGTCAAAAACTATATCATGGGGACAAAGAACAAACTCATAAGCCCTTAACCTGTTACTCATTCAAAGCACAATTTGTTTTCTTCTGAGCCATTTAGGACTAAAACTAGTTTTCTCCTTTGTTTTGCAGTAATAGAGATTGAGGCCAAGAACTTCGAATTGAGCTATATCCTAGTCTTTTTTATTTTTTTTTAGACAAAGTCTCTCTAGGTTGTTAAATTGCCCAGGCTGGGTTCAAACTTGCAATCTTCTTGCATTGGCCTCACAGAGTACTAGGATTACAAGTATGCACCACCACACCAGGCTTTAAAAATCAGTTTTTATTAAACCCGGTGACTCTTCACTTGAGCCTACAAGTGTCTATAGGTAACTAAAAACAAAATAAAGCTTGACTTTCATTTTTATATCCTTTATTACCTTAAAACTTGCAATACTGGTAGGTTAATCATTTAGGAAAAGTTGACAAAACAAGGCTCATTAGCCCTAAATTTACCTAATCTCTCATCTCCCTACAAGAGTGAAGGTACCAAGCGAAGAGTAATTAATTTTCAATATTTGCAGAGACATCCAATTACTAGCTTTTATAACATTCATTTCCAGAACTATCTTCCATGCCCACACCTCATCCTTGGATCAACACCTAGAAGTCTCCAGCCATCAGTCTAAGCCTGTAATCACCCAGGTCTCAGGAAAAGTAGAGCTTCACAGGACTGAAACCGTCAGAAACAGAGGCAGTCATTTTTACAGGAACCAAATTACCAATCAAGTATTGAGGCTTTCCCCAGAGCTACAAAATTAGGACTGAGACGATCATTGACCAGGCCCAAGCCAAACACTGTACCCCATAAAACTGGGACCTGTCCTTTTGCGAATGGGCCAGTCTGACCCACCTCCTTCACAACTGTGCTCACTTGCATTTCTCGAACTGAAGCCTTTTTCCTATTTTACCTTTGTTACTTTCCTTTCTTAGGCGACTGGCTTGAGCTTTGTCAGAGGTATTCTCTACTTTATATTCTCTTACCTTTTAATTAAAGATTTTGTCTAAAAATTCATACTGTTGCTTTACTTTACTTTCCATTATCACTAAAGCAAGGACCCAGTGACATGGCAACTTAGTGACTTAATGCGACCCTGTCTCCAAAAACAGAAAAGGGCTAGGTGTCTCAAAAACCAGAAAAGGTTTCTCAGTGCAAAAATCCTGGATTCAATCCCCAGTACAAAAAAAAAAAAGTTGGTACCCTAAACTTTCCTATGCTTCTTTTCCTCTCTTTTTTTAAGTTAAGCAAACTCTTAACTTATTCCATCTCCAAAACTGAAAATGATCAGGCAGGTACTAAAACAATTTTGCTACAGTTCATCATGTTTGGATTCTTTTTAATAAGTTATACCTTGTGTTTCTAAACATTTAGTCATTACTTCATTATCTTAAAAAAAAACACCATAATCACCTTTATTAAAAGCTAAAATCTAATCAAAGTCTTACCATCCTTCCAAATGACACAAAGATTAAACCATGCTAAAATACTAAAGCATATGGAAAGACAAATTGCGTGTGCACAAAAACAGCTAAAAGAATTATAGGTTGCTTCTATTATTATTTAGGCTATTAAAGACAGGAACAAGGCAAGAATGCCTACACTTGCTACTTGTTTTTTCTTTTGGTTTCGGTTTTTATTGTTGTTTTGAGACAGGGTCTTGCTATGACATTCAGGCTGGCCTTGAACTCGAACTCACTATTTAACCAACACTCACCTCAAACTTGCAGCTGCTTGCCTCAGCTTCCCAGCTTCTGGGATTATAGGCAAGTGCCACCATGCCCAAATACTTTTGCTACTTCTATTCTACATAATACTGAAATTTCTAGGCAGAGTAATTAAGCAAGAAAAGAAAATACAAGGCATCCAAACTGTAAGAAAGAACTAAAATTATCTCAGTTCACAGATAACATATGCAGAAAACCCTAAAGACCCTCTTCCTATACTACTATAATAAATGAACTACTATAATAAATGAATTCAGCAAAAGTAAATGTTACAAGTCAATACACAAAAATCAGTTGCATTTCTACACACTAACAATGAACAGTATGAAAAGAAAATTATGAAAATAATTCCATTTATAATAACATCAAAAAATACTTAGCTATTGGGCCAGGGATTTAGCTCAGTGGTTCCACCGCCTGCCTTGAAAGCTCAAGGTGCCGACTTCAATCCCCGGTACCAAAAAAAAGAACTTAGCTATTAACTAAAGAAGCAAAAGATCTATAGAATGAAAACTATAAAACACCACTGAAACAAATTAAAGAACACATAACTAAATGGAAACATCTAATATTAATAGGTTAGAAGACAATATTGTTAAAATGTCAATATTATGCAAAGCAATCTACAGATTCAAAGCAATCCCTATCAAATTCCCAATGACTTTTCCTTGTAGAAATAGAAAAGCCCTTCCTAAAATTCATATGGAGTCTCAAGGGAGCCCAAATAGCCAAAACAATATAAAAGAAGAACAAAGCTTAAGGATTCACATTTCTTGACTTGAAAACTTTCAAACTACAGTAACTGGCTGGGTGTGGCATTATATGCCCATAATCCAAGCACTTGGGAAGTTGAAGCAGAAGGATAGCCTCAAATTCAAGGCCAACCTGGGCTACATAGTGAGTTCAAGGCTGGCCTGAACTATATGAAGACCCTTTCTCCAAAAAACAAAAACAAAACAAACAAAGCTACAGTAATCAAAACAATGCTGCACTAGAATAAAGACAGACATAGAGACCAAGGGAATACCATATAGAGCCCAGAAATAACCCTCACATATATGAATAAATTATTTTTCACAATGGCAAAAAAGACAAACAGTGCCAGGAAAACTAGACGACCACATACAAAAGATTGAAGTTGAACCTTCACTTAACACCATAAAAGCCGGAAAACAGGTCAAAGAATTCAATATAAGAACTAAAACCGAGGCAACCCACTTTCCCGTCCCCTTTCTGTCTCTCGGACAGAAGCTTTCTCTCAATAAATTTTTCCTACTCTTTAAAAAAAAAAAAAAGAACTAAAACCCTAAAATATTTAGAAGAAAATGTAGGGCAAAAGCTTCACAACATTGGATATGACAATGATCTTGTGGATATGACACCAAAGACACAGGCAAAAATAAAAAATACACAAATCAGATTTCATAAAAATTTAAAATTTCTATGTATTAAAAGACAATATCAACGAGAGTAAAACAGCAACCCAAAGAGTGGGGAAAATATTTGCAAATCATGTATCTAATATAGTACTCATATCCAGAATATAATAAAAAGCTACAACAGTAAACAACTTAGTTGGGCATGGTGGTGCACACCCATAATTTCAGCACTTAGGAGGCCAAGAAAGGAGGACTGCTACAAATTCATGGCTGACCTGAACTTTATAGTGAGACTCTGCCTCAAAAATAAATAAATAAATAAATAAATAAATAAATAAATGTTGTCAAAGGTCTTGAATATACATTTCTCCAAAGGAAATAGACAATAGCCAAAAAGCACATGAAAAGATGATGAAGATTCTGGTACCAGAAAAAAAAGGAAAGATGCTGAATATCACTAATCATCAGGGGAAAAAAGAATCAAAACTACAATGAAATATCACCTCACACCCCTTGTTACTAGTACTAAAAAACAGGAAATAAATTTTGGCAAGGATGTAAAGAAAATGAAACCCCATGCCCTGTTGATGGAAATATAAAATGGTATAGCTACAGTGGAAAATTAAATGGCAGTTCCTCAAAAATACTTTTTAAAGATACTGGGCATAGTGGCAGATGCCTATAATCCCAGCTACTTGGGAGGCTGAGGCAGGAGGATCACAAATTCAAGGCCAGCATGTTATAGCTTCTGTTTAGATATCCTCCCCAAAGGCTCATGCAGATGAGGTGGCTGAACATAGAGTGTGTGATGCTGGAATTAAGGGCATGTGATTACTAACCACTACACCCACTACATGGGTGGTTTCACACCACCCTAATACCAGTAGTCTAGATGGAATAAAAAGGGCAAAAAGACACTGTTAAAGTCTCTTGTTGCTTTTGCTATCTTCCGCCACCACGCACTGTCACCCCTCTGCCACCTGTCAGGCTGGAACTGATCAAATGGCTAAAGAATATGCTCTTTAATTCCAAGCTTGGACAAGATACAAAGAAACCACAACAAAACAGGCAGCCAATGTAGATGCGGTCTCCACCTCATAAAAGCCATGCTATCTCAGAGCAGATAGAATATAGAACACAGGATGGGATATTCCCAACATAGAGATAACAACTACAAAGTACAGCATCTTTTCAATGCCAAGTCACCTGAAAAATATCCATACATCTGCCTTGATTGCTGCATGGACTCCAACCACAAATATTTGCTCTGACTCCCATATGTGACACACCTGCCAGACCTCTTTCCAATGTCCTATAATGCTTCCAGCCTTTTCTCTGTTTGGTGCTGACGGCCTCTTGCTTGCCCAGGTGAATAAAGTCTGTACCTCTTTGCTTTCACCAGCCTGCTGAGGTGGTCTCATTCCTCCACCATTTGTTACACCACTCTGCCTTGGAGACAGCAGATAAGGGACCGAAACCTCTTTGAACTGTGAGCCAAATAAACCTTTCTCCCTTTAACTTTGGATGTCTGGTATTTTGTCTCAGCAATGAGAGAAAAGTAACTAAGTCAGAAATTTGGTACCAGAGAAGTGGGGTGTGCTGTGACTTTAGTCAAGACCCTTTGGAACTGGCTTGTGGGAAGGGGTAAAGTTTGGAAAGATTCTGAGATGCCAGTTGAGAGAGCAGAGTTGGAACACATTAGGCTGTACTGTATGGGAGATTCTAGTCAGAGCTCAGAAGACCAGAAAGCCAGTAAAGACCAGGCTCTGGAAGTTTCTACTAGGATGAAGGACTGCACTGGCTGCTAGACTCCAGACAATGTGTGCTATTCTTTGGCAGAAAGTTTGTCTGTATTTTGCTCATGTCCAGAGACTTTGCCTAAATCTGAGATTAAGGGCAGCAGACTAATCTAGCACAAGAAATCTCAAGGCAGTCTAATCTTGAGGCAGTGGCATAGTTACTGTTGGGGGCTTTTAGCCAGACTTACATTGAAAATCAAGAGCAAAGAGCCCAGAAGAGTGATTTAAAGCATGTGTTTGGCCAAAAAAGGAAGCACCAATAAAGTTGCAGCCTACAAAGATAGAGCAGAGGAGATCTTGATTGCTGAGAAGGAAGGAAAATGGAAAAGATGGCCTGAGGGCATCACAAGAAACAGCAGGACTCCACCCTGTGCAGCCTGAAAACTGTAAAAGTGCAAGACTTTCCTTTGAGAAGAAAGCCCAAGAGCACCATGTTCCAGAATGGCGGCAGACACACCATGTTGCAGAATGGTGGCAGCCTAGAGAATCTGTTCCTCAGAACTGGATTCAGAGTGCTCAGCAATCTAGGCACTCGTCCCTTACGGCCAAGAGAGAAGGAAGCCTGGTTACTGCTCCAGCTGGAGCAGACCTTGGCATCATCCATGTGGCACTGGTTTTAGGTGCACACCGAATGGAAGAATTGTGGTGCAGGCAGGAAAGCTTCTACACAGATTTCAGAAGAAGGCCTGGGAAGCCAGGCAGTGTGCCCCTAAGAGGGCAGTTTGTGAAACTGAGTGCAAAGCTAAAGGTGCAGTAGAGACACCAGAAGATTGAAGAAGCCAGGATTGTGGATTGTCTAGGGAAAGCTGCAAGGAGGGAGCAGAACCAGCCCAAGAGAGAAGCTGTGGGAGCTACAACCATCTGCAGTGCCATACCATTGGACCCACCCAAGGCCTTTGGAGTTGACAACTTGCCACAAATTGCCAGGAATGCTGGAAGTGAAACTGTAGAATTTAATGTTTGCCCTGCTTGATTTTGGACTTACTTTGGTCCTATTCCTTTGTATCCCCATTTGTAACTTTTGGAATGCAAATGTCTATCTTGTGCCGCTGAACGTTGGAAGTGTTTAACTTTCTTTTCATTTGTACAGGGGCTTGCAGCTAAAAATTTACCTTAAATCTCAGAGGAGACTTTGGACTTGGACTTTTCAGCAATGCTGAAATTGTTAGGACTTTGGGAACTCTTGGAGATGGACTAAATGCTTTTTTGCATAAAGGGATATTCATGAGTTTTGCGGGAGCCAGGGGCAGAATGTTATGGCTTGTGTTTAGATGTCCTCCAAAAGCCTCATGTGGGGCTTTCTTTTTAAGAGGTGGCTGAATATAGAGAATGTGATGCTGGGATTAAGGGCGTGTGATTACTAAACCAATACACTTGAGTGATTGGTTTGCCATTACCTTAATCCTGGTAGTCTGGATGGGATAAAAGGGGCAGAAAGATGCTGTCAAGGTCTCTTGTTGCTTTTGCTGTCTTCCACTGCTGTGAACTATTGCTGCTCTGCCACCCTGCTTTGTTGCCAGCCAATTAGGGACTGAAACTGAACTGTAAGCCAAATAAAACTTCCCCTTTTTAACTTTGGGTGTCGAGTATTTTGTCTTAGCAATGAGAGAAAAGTAACTAAGACATATTGTGAGCAGCTTAGTGAGACCCTGCATTAAATTTTAAAAAATAAAAAGGGATGGGCACATAACTCAGTGGTCCCTATGTTCAATGGGGCAGGGGGCACAGAATTATTATATGACCCAGAAATTTCATTTCTTAGTATATGCTCAAAAGCCTGTAAATAGGTCTTGAAGAGATTCGTACACTCATGCTAATATCATTATTTACAACAATTAAAGCATGGAAAGAAAAAGAAAAAAAAGAATATGGAAGCAACCCTAGTGAGTATTAATGCATGAATCAATAAGCAAAACTTCTTGTGTATACAAGAACTATTATTCAGGAAATGTGACACATGCTATAATACTGATGAAAATTAAGAACATTATGCTAAGTAAAATAATGCAGTTAGAAAAAGACAAATATTGCATGATTCTATTCATATGAGGTATTTGTGGTAGTTGAAATCAGAGACATTAACAGAAGGGTGGCTGCCAGAGTATGAGGTAAGAACCCATGATTATTTAATGGATACCAAGTCTCAGTTTACAAGATGAAAGAGTTCTAGAAATGGTTGCATAATGAATGTATTAAATATCCCTGGGACAGTAAACTGGCTAAGATGGAAAATTTACATTATATGTATTTTAATATAATAAGAAACTGGGGGAAAAGAGAATAAAGAATTATTTTTTCAAATAATGACTTACACGATAGGCTGTGCTAGTTGCTGGGTGACAGGAGCACTAACATAAGCTGCAGGCTGGACTCCCATCATTCCTGAACCATCTTAAAAGAAGACAAATAACATTTATTTCAGAGTACCCATTAAACAGCACAAAACGAAAACGCTTCCTAAGGAAAAACATATTCTTTCTGGGTTAGGAGTTACCATAAAACAATACAAGAAAACACAAAAGGTTGTTTCTTAAATATAGATAAAAATGAAATAACTACAAACTATAACTGGGTTTTTAAATAGGTATTGGTATGTTTTGTCCCCCAGAATTCATGCAGGCATTTAATCACCAAAGTCTTACATTAACATAATTAAGAGAGTAAAACCTTAATGTGATATGGTGTTTAGAGGTGTGACTATTAAGAACTGATTAGATTAGATTATTAGGGTGGAGCTCCACAACTGAATTCTGATGACTTTATAAGAAGAGGAAGAGACACTACACAAAGACATGCTCCTGCTATGATGTGTTGGTGGGATGGGGGGGTCTTTGCCAGACCCTGTACTTGCTTTTTGAACTCTCTAAAGCTGTGAACCAAAATAATCTCTTTTGTATATAAAGTAGCCTCCTAAAATATTTTACTGTAGTAACAAAAATTGACTAATACAAATATTGACTTTATCAAGTCAACAAACATACTCAAATTAAGCAAAGTTATTTATATACTTTTGCTTAACAAAAACCAATTTTTTTATTAAATCACTGGAAAAAGATGTTTCTAGATCACTTACAATAAGCAAGACTGGGGTCCAAAGTATTTCTGGCACCATAAAAATAGTATGCATCATCATAAGGAGCTCGATAGTTGTTAGCCAAAGGTGGTAGTAGGGGAGGTGGTGGCAGAGGTGCAATTCTGCATCAAAAGAGAAATGGAGAAGTCTTCACATATTTCAGTATAAATTTTTAATCAAGATGTTATTATTCTTTTAACAAAACATGCCTGAAACATTAATCACAAATTTAGAAAAAGCCACAACTTTGTTCTAATCATTTAGCAGAAATTATAATCAAAAACCAAATAATATAGCATAAAATATGACAATTTCAGATACAATACTTATGCAAGACACAAACAAGTTATTATTCAATCAAGTAATAATAATACCCAATAGTCACTATGTGCCAATATCAAACAAAAACAGATATTGTCCCTGTCCCTCAGGAATAATACAGAAATAGATTATTACAACCAGATACAGTAAACAAAGCAAGACTCAGGGTGCTATAGGAATTGAGAGCTGGGACACTTAAACCTCATAAGAAAGAAATCACAGAAGACTTTCCAGAGAGGCAATGCTTGTACCATGTTACTAGAGTAAGCTAGTATAGACAGAGGTGAGACAATTAAGGAAGAAAAGGCAGACCTACAAAACCACATGAGTGTAAATGGCTCAGTTTGAAGAAGAGGACTTTTTAAAATCTGTACTGTATTGTTCTATCACAGGAAATCAACCATAATGTGAAATAAAAATTAATTAAACATTAACAGTAAAGTCTTAACATAATATTTAGAATATCACAAACTGAAAACGACTCACAAACCTTTAGTATTTCACAAATTGAAAACCTCTACTTCATTACTCATTAGAAAATAGCACTGTATTTCCACCAATACAGTACTTTCCAATAGTAAAAATCCAAAATGCAAATTCCAAGATGAACAAAAAGAGAAAGGGAGTATTCTAGAATATTTTTTGACTGTATCTTAACAGATTTTGCCTTGCTGCATACTCCAAAATATTTGTGAAGAACTAAGAAGTTACTAAAGTTCTCTTCAGTGGTGAATGTTTTTTCCACATTTACTATTCAGTTTGCCTAGCCTCACTATCACCAATTCAAAGGTATAGCAACAAAGAAGTTATAAAAAGGAGCTGTCATCCTCAACTTCTAAACTGAATAGATTTATATAAGACTTAACAGTCACAACCTTGTAACAAGAAAAAAAATTGTGCTGTTCCACTTCTATAAATGAAAAAATGGAAGCTGAACAAAGATAAAGTTTGCCCAAATTCCATTAGTAAAGCTAACCAGTTCAATCTCTTAGCAGAAGCTGAAACCACCATACAATGCCCTGTAATTTTAATCCTACCCAATCTGTTGAATACAGAAGCCATTAGAGAAAATAAAGCACTTGATAAACACAGTAAACATGGCCCTACAATTTGTTAGTAATAAATAAAAGACCAAAGTCCTACTGAAAAATGAAAAGATACTGCAGAAATGTCAATGTTTTAAAAAGTTAAGAAAAATATCAACAGATTTAAATCCATTCATTCATAAGATTAAAGTAACCAAAAAATAAGCATAAGTCATACAAAAATGTTAACAGGATTTTCTCTATGTATAGACTAGAATAGCATGATACATTCTATCTATAGAAATCAAATCTTTACTCCAATACCTAGATTATACGGGTTTTATTATTGCCAACACTTTTTATTCCAAATGTCTGAGTTACATAGCTCCTGAGTTACCGCAAGTAAAGAATTTAAGGAAACAAGAGCTAAAATAAAATATTTTTATATAGTAATATTAGAAACATTTTCTGCATAAGTTGATGGACAAATTCAATGTTTGCCAAGTGGAAATAACAAAACTAAAGATAATGCATAGCTTTTATATGTTAAAAGATTATAAAAATATCTAAATATGATCTAAAACCCAATACTAAAATGTATTTAGTGATTTATTCCAAAAATAAAAATCTTGAAACAATTAAAGGAATTAAACAGATTTTCCTTGTATTTATAACAGCAGAGAAAAAACAAAAATGAAAATAAATTTTAAGAGAAAGTTATTTAGCAAAGCTGTTATACAAAATCTCTGAAGGACAATGTCATCTGCGTTAGTTTATTCTTCTAAACATTAATTTAACAACATGTTACCTAATTCTCAAACACAAAACATTTTAAACAAGCACCTGGGAGGCACCATTTCACCAAGGGTGCTGTTGAGTCCATTGTGCAAATCTTCATTTTGAGAAGGGATGGGGTGAACTGATGGGATGGGTGGGGCAGAAGGAGTAGATAAAGGAGGGAGAGGAGTCTGGAAAGCTACTCTGGGTCTTTCAGGTGGTGTCATCTCTCCAAAGTGTCTTGGTGTCACACTAAACTGCTTTAGTCTATCAGGCTAAAATAAAGAAAGAAATCTGTTTGTTACATAGTATCATAAATTTAAAGGCGGAAGCGTCCTCAAAAGACCCTGCCTCCCAGCAGACATTTTAAACTCACAGAGTAATAGAGTTCATAACTATAAAATATTTTTATGATCTAATTCTTATTTTATAAATGGGTAATTGAGGCTTTCTGACAAGTACATAAATCACCACAAGTCTCACCTTTAATAATCAATAATTAGAGCTAGGAATTAATTTCAAATAAATCAGTCTATTATAATACAAGAGTACTCTGCTACTTCTCTATCCATTGTCATTTCTGTTACGAAAGTATTCTCCAGAACCCAGCCAGCAAATGCTTCCTGTAAATGGCCAAACAGTAATAGGCTTCGCAATCTCTTCACAACTGCCCCACTAAGCTATAGTGCTAAAGCAGTCACAGACAATGTATAAAGAATGAGGGAGGCCGGGCTTCAATAAAACTTTATTTACAAAACAAGTAGCAGATGGATTCAGCCATAGGCCACAGATTGCTAATGCCTACTAAAGAACATCATTTTTATATCCATTTCTAAGATTTGACATCAAAAGTAAGTGCTAAAGTAATGTTTAACTATTGTCTCTGAAAAACATTAAATACATAAATATATATCGTCTCTGATATTTATTCTTGTAAATCAACTTGACATTCTTTAGGGGTTTCAATTCAAATGTCAGACACTCCAAAATTTAACATCTAAATACGTCATATTAAAAAGCTCAAGCTTATAAAATAAAAGTTGTTTTTTTTTTTTCCAGTGAAACCAAAGACTGAACCCAGGAACTACTCAGCACTGAGCTATATCCCCAGTTCTTTTTTTACTATTTTCTTTTAGGCAGGGTCCCACTAAATTGCCCAGGCTGGACTTGAACCCATGATCCTTTGGACTCAGCCTCCCAGAGAGCTGGGATTACAGACATGGGCCATTATACCCTGGTTAAAAGGAAATTTTGACTGCAAAGGTTATCAAAGGTATTTACTGATAAATGAAAATATATTTAACTTATGAGTTTATCTTGCTTTTTCTGCCATGGTTATCTCATCCGGAATGATTTTTCAAATTAGTCTAAAAGTCTCATAGTCAGTCAGTCTTGGGAGAAATACTGGTGCAGTATTAAACTTTTTTTTCTTTTTCTTTTTTTATGCTGGGGATTGAATCCAGGGCCTCATGTTTACTAAACACACTCTACCACTGAGTTGTACCCCTAGCCTTACCTCTACTTTTTTTAAAACAGGTAACTCAAAGGATATACACTCAGTATAGTTAGAAGTAAATCAAAAGTAGCCTACAGCTGATAACAATTTAAAGTTAAATAATTTTAACGTTAAGATTTGCTGCATCCTTATGAGAGAATGAACTTTTTAATGATATTAGAAGTCTTAATTATCATTTAAGGATGAAATAAAAACTTGCCGTAGTAAATAAATACTATGTATCAAACTACTTTAAAAGTACATTTAGTAAGAGTAATAAATTGTTACCTCTTCCTTACTTAACTACAATAATGTAGTTCATTTCACTTAACATTAGAATTGCAAAATTAAAGAAAAAGGATTATTGTTGCTCTAGCTTTACATTAGGTAACAATAAAAAGCTTAAAGACTGGAATTAAAGTTTCTTTGGAAATTAGATTAAAAAAGCAAGTGGTCAAAACATATTCAAGAGTAACATCAATTGTAAATTGGGCAGATATATTTCCTATGAAATAGTACACATGAACAAAATAAAGCACTAATTTAAAACTAAAAAGTGATATGCAGATGAAAAAGAAAATTAGGCAAAGAAACAACACAGGTGAGAGTTAAGATTTATATTTTATAAGAATTGAATTTATTTTATTATTGTTCAAACCGATCTACTCTTAACAGTCTCCCAGTAAGTATCTATCCTTACATTTGAGGATTATCTGAATGAAAGATTAAGAGGTACCAGGAAGCCCTACCGATTTCTCAGGGTCTTGTACTCCAGAAGCTGCAACTCTGAGTTCTAAATCTTTTTCTCTAAACAAAATTAAAGTTTTATATATTAAAAAGTTATAACAAAGACTATCAAAATTATAACCATCATTAAAACATATCTGCACACAAAATCTATGTAATACATCTCCAAATAGAAATAATTTCTTTGATAATAAAACCTTAAATAATACCAAAAATCAAATTTTCTGACTTGATAAAGAGTAACTAACTTAGAATAAGTAACTAACTTAGAATAAGTATCTTAAAACCAGTCCATGGGATACTTCAAAGACAAAATAAAATCCAAAAATAAAATCTTTATGAAGCAAAATAAAAATCCACACAAAATAAAATCCAAAAATAAAATCTTTATGAAACAAATCTCCCTTAGAATACTGGTATATTTTCAGTTCACACAAGGAAGGGTAAAAATTTAAATAAAACTGCCATGCTTCCTAATAAGAATTTTTTTTAAAATGATGTTTAAAGATGGCTCATAGCAGAAAACAAGTATCAGCTGCCTCCTATATGGAAAAGTAAAAGTAAAAGATCTCAAATTCTCTAAAATCAAGACTGCAACTCCTAATTTTAAACTATAACAAGTATCTTGCAGATATTTCTACAAGAAATTAAAAACACTGAGACTCATAAACAACATAAACACTTGTGATTTACCATATGATTATTTTATACTGCCTTTATGTATGTATGCTTGAAATTTGAAAAACATAAAATACTTTGTTACTATGTAAGAGATAACCTAACAGGCACACAGATAACATGAAAGGTTACTCTAAAGAAAAAAGTAAGCAAGTTAATGAAAGAAGTAAACTATTGTATAATATATAGTTTGATTTGTTACCTATGACAAAGAAAATTAACATTATCATAGTATTTATTTTCCTTGCTGATTTACAATGTACTGATTGATATGTAAGTGATTTATAAATCAACAATTTTGTTAGGAAAAACAGCCCCTTATTTTACAACCATGTCATTTTACATAGGTATACTTTCAATTCAAAACATCTGTATTAAATGCAAACCTTTCATTACCGTCTCTTGTTCTTCTGTTGCTCAGCCATTTGTTCCAATAATTCTAGTCTATATTTCTCTTTCCTTCTCTGAGTAAGATCTCGATCTTCACCTCCTGGATATTAATAAGAAAAAAATCTAGTCATAACTCCTAAGCATCATATAAAGCTAAAACTTAAACAAAAATTCATTTAGTTATATCGATAAGTATTGAATATATAAGTAGTACAGAAGGAATGAATCACACGTATCAGTACTTCTTCAGTTAATTTCTTAATTTATGAGTTTGCATCATAAGTCAAACACAAGATACATTAATAACTCCCAAGCCTCTACCTTTAGACAAAACTTTCTAATCCCGTCCTTATTTTAACCTGGGTTAATACATTCACTTGATATTTTCCATAAGCCCCTTAAATTTAACAAGTTCCATCCAAATAGATTCTTCAAAAGCTACTGCCCCTCTTTGCTTTCTGCTAATGGCCCCTATAATGGAGCCACAATGTCTCACTGTAACTTTGATGTTCATCTTTTCTTACCCAATTCAAATGAGGTCTCCTTCCTTTCTATTCTAAGGGTCATTTATCTTGGTTAGGTCTTCTCTGTAGTTCTCCTAAATTGCAAAAATAACCTCCTAACTTCTCTTCCCAGTTACCTTCTCCCTAAGTACATCCAACCACACGTAAGATTAAGCATTTTAAAATGAAGTACTAATCACACTAACAGTAAAAAAAACTTTGTTACTTTAATACTACAGGAAAAATACCCTCTCACCTTGATATCATTTATGTAAAAGTTGATTAAAACTTTTGGATGCAGAGAAGATCATTATTACATAAATTAGAGCCAAAAAAACCCCTCTCAATGTAGATATGTTACATAAATCAAAGGATTTTAAAATTGGAAATTTGTCTACCATCTTAATTATTGGTCTCCCAACCATACTGGGTACACAGCACCTGAGTTTGCCCATTAAGCACAGATGTCAGCAACTGTGAAGCTCTCAGAGGAGTACCATAATTATGTTAAGGTTATTAACAGTGTTTTAAAATCAAAGTAGGTTTCCATTCCTCTTCCTTGATGGAAAGGAAAAGCACAGGACTTAATTTCCTACTTAAATAACTAGAAAATTAGGCATAATATACAAAATAATTTGGGGGGCATTGGACAACAAGCAGCACAGGACTATAATACCTGAGAGAAAAAAAAAGTGACCCCTATAATCATTCTAGTTTTTGCCCAAATGCAATTTCTAGACTACATGTACAGGAAAAGAAAACCCCAACAGAGCCAAGAAACTGAGCTAAAGTGAATAAAGAGGAACTTGGGGAGGGCAATATGGCTCAGTGGTAGAGCATAAGCTTAGCATGTATGAGACCCTGGGTTTGATTCCCAACATCACAAAAAGTTAAGCGGGAAAAGATCAAAATTGAGAAAAGCTAAAATGGCTGGACGTCTGAAACAAAGATCCAAAATAAAGTATGCATTTCACACTTTACTGTATACTAGTTTGTGTATTCAGACAGAAATTCCATTTGGCTAAGCAAAACACTAAGAAACCGAAAAATTTGCAGACCTGAAACAAAAGAGAAAAATTCAAGTTGCAGCCAGTTTGTATAGACTCCCAGGACTGTCAGGGAAGATCCCAGAGAGGTTACTCTGTAGAAGCAAGGCTAAACTATTCTCTGGAATAAACAGTACTCATGTCCCTAGAGAAGCTTAAAAATAGCCCTCAAATGGGAGGCTGAAGCAGGAAGATCATAAGTTTGAGACTAGCCGGGGCAATTTAGCAAAGCCTATCTCAAAAAATAAGTAAATATAATAAGAAGAAGAATAACAATAATAATAATCTTTTTTTAAAGGGGCTGGGAAAAAAATAAAAATAAAAATAAAAAAGGGTTGGGAATGTGGCTCAGTGTGAAGACCCTGGAGTCAATCCCAGTACCGCCAAAAAAAACAAAAAGCAAAACAAAACAAAAAACCACCTCAAGAGTATCAAATTGTTTCTTAGTGACAAAGAAATGTGACTAGGGTAGGCAAAGTTTGAAGATGGCTCCTGTAAGTCCCCTCCTCCAGGTGCTGACTCCTTGAGTATAATCTCCCCTTGAGTTAGTAGGGTGGGCCCTATGAATTACTTCTATAAAATAGAAGAACATGGAAAGGTGAAAGAAATTTGCAGATGTAAGTAAGGTGAAAAATCAATTAAGTTTGGAATAACCAAATGGGAGAGCATTTTAGGTGGATTTGATATAATCAGATGAAAGCCCTTAGAAGAAAGAATGAGCTTTCCCTGAGTTTAGAAATAATTCTTGCTGGTAGTATAGAGTGAGCAGTGATGGTAAGGAAACCTACATGATGAGAAACAGCAGATGATCTCGAGGAGCAGTGAGGAGTCTCCAGTGGGCCACTAGTTTAAAAAAAAAAAAAGTCCCTAAGAATCAAAAGAAATTAATTCTGCAAAACTTCTGAATATGTAATGTGGCAACAGATTCTTCCCCAGTCCAGCCTCTAGATCAGTGATGGCAAACCTTTTAGAGCTTTAAACAATAACAAACAGCCAGCAGCACACGTCCCATAGGTTCACCACCACTGCTCTAGATGAAAAACAGCCTGGATGCATCTCAACATCCTAGAAAAACAAGAACAATCCAAATCTGAAACTGAAAGAAGGAAAGAAATTATAAACATAGGAGCAGAAATTAATAAAACTGTGATTTTAAAAAAATACAAAGTTCAATGAATCAAAGAGTTGATTCATGTCTGAAGAGAGAGAAGACAAGATTTGGTTCAGGCTATGAGGGAGAGATTTCCGGTGGACCGTAAGTCCAAATTAGCAAGATTTCTGCCCAAGCACACCTCTTGGGTCTCAGTGGTAACTCATATAACCAAGGTTGATTCTAGCTGGTATAAATAATTTATATAATCAAGGCCTCTACTGGCATGTGGCCACTATTGTATATTTTGGTATAAATGTAGACTGGCACAAGGGTTGGAGGAAATTAAGCTGCTGAGGACTGCTTCAGGCATGGACAAACTAGGGCCCTGAAGACTGCCACACAGGCATGCACGGCTGAGCAGGAATAAGGGAATAAAGGCATGTTGAGACATTTCCACGACTGTCTCTTCTTCTCAAGTGAACCTCCCCATCTGAAATGGTAACAAAACAGGGGAGGAGAAGGGGAAATTTTTAAAAGAGGATCAAGGTGTGATATGTATATGTACCAATCCCTCACAATGAATATATTTTCTATATATTATATATATACACTAATGGGGGGACACACAGCCTGGCTAACACAATTATAGCCTTTTGAGACTATAAATAAAGGACCCAACTAAACCATGATCAGATTTCTAACCCACAGAAAGTAAGACATAGTAAGTGTGGGTTGTTTTTAAATGTCTTTTATTAGAACATGTTTGCAGTAGATGAGTTTTACATTCACCTTAGGAAATGGGTACATATACATAACACATTTTGATTCTTTTTTAAGCCCCTTCTTCTTCCCACTCACCTCCCTCCCTCCCTAAGTCTCCTTTTCCCATTTTCATTATCGTTATTATCTTTAGTCCATGTCTACATCATATAATGTTTACATTTATTGTAGGTATATGACACATGTACATGACACATCTTAAATATTTTTACTTCTCCAAACCCTCCCCACCTCCCTTTGTCCTTAATCTCCTAGATGCCCTTCCCATTTACAAAAGAGCTATCTTTCTGTTTCCTTCTATCAATCATTTATTTTCCTTTAATTTGTATTTGCCTTACTCAAATGAGAGATATCATATGGTATTTAAGCTTGTGTATCTGATTTATTTCATTTAACATTATACTTTCTACATACACCTATTTTCCTACAATTGTTTCAGATGTATCCTCCTTTACAGCTGAACAGTATCCCATTATATATAAATACCACATTTTCTTTATCCATTGGTTTGTTAATGGACATACTATTAGCTATTATGAATTGTGCTGCTATAAATATTGGTATGCATGTATGGCTACAACATGACATCTTTAACTCTTTGGGACGATACCTGGAAGAGGAATAGCTGAGTCAAATGGAATTTCTAATTTTAGTTCTCTGACAAAGCTCCATACTGATTTCCATACTGGTTGTACTAGTTTACATTCCCACCAACAGGGTTCCGTTTTCCCCACAGCCCCACCAGCATCTGTTACTATTTGATTTCTTGATGATGGCCATTCTTTCAGGAGTAAGGTGAAATATCAGTGTTGTTTTAATCTGCATTTCTCTAATGGCCAGCAATGTTGAGCATTTCTTCACGTACTTACTGGCCATTTGTACTACTACTTCTGTGAAGTGTCTTCACTTCATGTGCCCATTTTTTGAATGAGTCTTTTATTTTGAGGGAATTCTAATTTTTTTTGAATTCTTTGTATATTCTAGGTATTAGTCCTCTATCTGAGGAATGGTTGGCAAAAAATTTTTTCCACTTTGTAAGTTGCCTTTTCACTCTGTTGACTGTTTCTTTCACCATGAAGAGATTTTTTTATATATATATGATCCCATTTGTTGATTCTCAGAGCTGTTTTCTGTGAAGCCAGGGTTCTTCTGTTCAGAAAGTCTTTGGCTACATCTCTGATTTCAAGAGTTTGACCTATTTTATCTTCCAGCCGTTAACTGTTTCTGTCTTAACATTTAGTTTTTAATCTATTTTTATTTTAGTATAGTACACGGTGAGAGATACAGGTCTTGCTTCAATCTTCTAAATTGTTTTCCCAACACTATTTGTTAAAGAGGGTATCTTCACTCCAGTGTATGTTTTTGGCCCTTTTGTCAAAGACCAAATAGTTGAATGTGCTTGGTGTTGTTTCTGTATGCTCTATTCTGTTCCACTGACCTTCGTGTCAGTTTTTGTGCCAGTATCAGGTGTTTTTATCACGCTAGCTTTGTAACATAACTTCAGGTCCAGGACTGTGATGCCTCTGGATTGCTCTTTTTACCCAGGTATTTTCTGGTTTCATATGAATTTTAGGAATGTTTCCTCGAATTGGGTAAAGAGTATTGGAATTTTGAGTAGGATTGCACTGAATATCAACTCTGGAAGTATGGCCATTTTGACATTGATTCTGCCTCTCTGGAAAAGGGGAATGTAAACTTGTGGCCAATATAGTCAATGAACATAATGCAGATTTGGATATGAATGTATAAGATCAAGAGGAAGAATAGCAGCCAATAATAGAAAGAAATGTGATGGAACATGAGCATACAGAACTGAGAAGCTGAGCTTAGTGGGACATGCCTGTAACCCCAGCAATTGGGAGACTAAGGAAGGGGGATCACCACCACAAGTTCAAGACCAGCTTGGGCTACATAATGAGTTCAAGGCCAGCCTGAACTGCATAGTGAGTCTACGGCCATACCACCCTGAACGCGCCCGATCTCATCTGAACTACACAGTGAGACCCTGTCTTAAAAAAAGAACTGAAAAATGCAGAACTTCTAATAAATATTAATTTGAGTGATCCTTTTGTGTTGTATAAATTACTCATATTTACAGCTGAAGAAACAAACATATGCCATACATTGAGGTTTTATTGCAAAAAAAAGAGAAAACCTCAGCAATGGTGGGAATCTGTCACAATTAATGAGATGAAAGTTTTTACAGGTATATTATTATGAGGATAGTACCATTACTAGATATTAGATTGTACTGGTCAGAAAGTAATATCTATGCCAACAGACAAAGAATGCCATGCAATATGATCCTTTTTTGGCTATTTTGAACTGTTTACATTTCTCTGACAATATCAAATGCAGAGTCTAGACTCCTTTGAATAAGTTTTTTAAAATCATGAAAGAAATTATAAGTACATTCAAGAATGCAGTAAAACCTGGAAAATGTAGCAAGAGATGAAAGTATGGTTTTATGGCAAGGACATCTGGATTTTTGCTAACACATCAAAGAAAAATGGCACAAATATGGGATAAAATTATATAAAATGTTTGCTTAATGGTTATACTTATAAATATATGTCTATACCAGAAAAAGTGCAAACCCTCTGATGCATGGGCATTCTTATGTTGTTTTAAAATTAATTAATGGCTTATTATTTGAACACATATGTACATAACTATATATCCCCAGTACAAGAACTTTTACAAAAAGAAACATATTTTTGTGGCACTGTACAGTCAAATCAAAAATTTCTACCTGTACATGCAAGGACAAAGCAAAAACAGGACAAAATCATATACTTTGAAAATTGTTCTGGTGTAAAATTTGCTAAATGGACGGAAAAAAGAACTCTGTAACTTGTAAAAATCATGCATGTACACTGATTGAAGGAAAGCCTGGAAACATAAAACTAGATGTCTTTGATTACAATAATGCAAAGAAAATACATCACTTATTTAGCCTTAAAATTATACAGAACTATACAGTCCATATTAAACGTTCAGCATGGTACCTAACGTAAGCACTTGATAAATGTTTTTTATGATTAATAAAAGTAGTATTATAACATTGTGTTCTTATTAAAGATCTTTCATATAATATTGCAAAAGTCTAATCATTTGGAAATTTTGTACATACCAAAGAGCATCCCTGCAAAAGAACTACAGATTTCTCGATTAGTAGATTTGAATGGTTTGTGTTCTTGAGCACTAAAACAAAGAAACAAAAGAGTATTAATTAAAATTTAGATAATGTTCAGGAACCAAAAACTTAAGAGTAAAATGTAGATATGGGTTATTCCCTTTCAAAGTACTACAGACAGTATTTACATATTTTTAAAATTTTTATTTTGTTAGTGCATGTGTGTAGTATATAATGCTTACATTCCTTGTGGGAAGTTGGTACATATACATAACAGATCTTAATTTCTTTTTTCATCCCCCTTCCCTCCCTTCCTTCCCCCACTTACCCATCTTTTGATCCCTTGCCTTTCTTTGTTATACATATATTTTTCGGTAAGTGATGGCATTTTATTTCTTTATAGAGTGAAATACCAATTTACTCAGGTTCAATAAAAATATAACCTTTTAGCTGGGTGTGGTGGCATATGCCTGTAATCCTAGCACTTGGGAGGCTGAGGCAGGAGGATTTCAAGTTTGAAGACAGCCTGGTCTACACTGAGACTTCCAGGTCAACCTTACTATAGAGCAAAGTTATACAATTCTTCAGTCTGCTTCACTGGCTCTATAGGTTCAAAAAAAATCTTTTTTCATAAGTGTGGCTATCCAGTAATAAAAATGGATATAAGTATGTATAATACATTCTTAAAAAGAAACTATAACTAATGTACATACTTAGCAAAGGAGATCATCTCTTTAAAAAAAAAAAAAACTTCCATGCAGATAGAAACATGGGGAAATAATTCTCTCAATGAAAATTTAATTAGGACCAAACAATAAACTCTCTTATTGCAAATATTCTTTATATACTATATTTCTTCAAAGAAAAGAAGACACCTCATTTGACATATGATAAAAATATCTTATTTATACCATAGATTAGAACCATTTATTCTTATATATGACACAAGAAAGCATCAAGATTAAAAAGCTATGAAGTTATTTCCTGTCTTTCTGAAAGACAAACATATGAGTACTGACTTATAAAGGAAGCATAAAAAATTATCTACTCAATAAGCTGAAAATCAAAAAGGGTTTAAAGAAAAATTCACACTGCAGGATTATTCTCAATTCATTTTCAGGCAAAGCGCATGATCATGACTCCCAAGATATTTTAAATAGATTTTCACTCCGTTAAATTACATGCATATCCCTCCTATTTCAAACAAATTTATATACTTATGATAGAACACATGAGGCAGGCTTTATAAGCAAAAACTTGTTCTTCAAATTAATGCTATAAAGTACTATAAATTCTTATTTACTACTACCTCCTACCTCACCTTTTTTTTTTTCACTTTAATTCCTTTCTCACTAGGAAGGAAGGCTATTCATATACTGTATCTTTCTACCTTTTCAATAAGCCAGTTTTAGGTAGGTACTGTTTCACAGTGTGGTGACTAAAGGGCAGAATTTATATCACATACTGTACCTTTCATTTCCAGCAGATGAAATTCGTGTGTTTGATTGTTCTATGATATCACCATCATTTTCCATAGGAGGCACCTCCCCTTGTCTTTTCCCATGCATCCTTAAAAACACATTATCTTATAGAGCATGTTCCACATACAGTGGACCTTCTCATCTCTTTAGGATTTTAACATGTGATGTTGGAAACATTAAAGGAACAGAGTATTATAATGAAGTTTTACTGTAAACATTCTAAAATTAATTCAAATGAGATTTGTTTCAAGTATGATCTGCTGGTTTTAACAGACATTAAGAGTTTAAGGGGGATTTTCTGGTTCAGTTTGGTTTGGTTTGGTTCAGTTTAGTTTACTTTGGTTTGCAGTTCTGAGGAACTGCACCCAGGGCCTTGCATAACTAGGTAAGATCAACATACCCCACCCCTATTAGTATGTTTTTAAAGCAGATTATTATAAATTATTTCCATATAACTTCTAGAAAATTCTAATTTCAAACTACAAACGTAAAACATATTTTTAAACTTAAGGCAAGTTAAAGTAAGACATTCTATCATTCACTTAATAAGTGAATAATTGAGCAATTCCTCCATGCTAGTACTACGCTGGGCACTGCATACATGCAGTCCTTGCATTCATGAAGACTACAGTTAAAATTCAAAATGAGACATTTTTAAGTTAAAATTCACAAATTTTGGGAATTATGTCACTGTATATATAAACCTTTTAACTTAAAATATAGCAGCAGTCTTACCAATAAATTAAATCAAATATAGAAAACCATAACATCTGCTAACACATACATAACATGAAAGAATAAATGTTACCAAAAGCTAAATGGAAAGTATGAACAAATAGGCCAATTTGTGGGTAGACATAATCAGCTCTCTTTACTTACAGGAACAGAAATGAAAAGATTAAGAATATTTTTCTAATTTCTTCTTTTAAAACCTTTTTAGAAAATAATGAAAAATGTTTTAAATTAACATTTTCTTTTTCCATTTGGCAAACACTGATTTTTTTTTTAAGTTTAATTTTGCAGACCTCAGAAACAAACATAACTTTCTTTATACCAAAACTTATCTACGAAAACCAGCATTTCATAAGTACTACTTCCTTATGGGCTGCTGAGTTAGTTAAAAACTAGATTGTCTTTCTCAAGAGGACTAATAGAAATATGACTGTTAAAGTACCGGTTACTGTTTATATCTAGATGTTCCTCCAAAGCCTCACATACTCATAGGTGGGGCTTTTGGGAGGTGATTGAATCATGGGTGTGTGATTCTCCTCACTGGATTAGTTCACTGATGGGTTTATAGCTGGGTGGGATGTCAGGGCGTGAAGCTTGCCAGGAACAGGTGGGTCACTGAGGGCATGGCCTGAAAGGGTATATATCATCCCTCTTTCTCTCTTCATCCCTTGCTGTTTCCTGCCTGCTATGCCACGAATGATTGCTCTTCTGGCATGCCTCCTTGCCTTGGAGCCAGCGGACTATGGGCTGAAACCTCTACAAATTGAACCAAAATAAACCTTTGCTTCTTAAGAGTTGTGGGTATCAAATCTTGTGTCTCAGAATCAAGAAAGTAAGACAACTACTGACTGGTATTTTTAGATTAATTTCACTATCAAATTAATAAAACTGGCAATTTTTAGTTTTAACAGAAAAGGAACTTTCCATTCTGATAGAATCGGTATATAAAATTCTTGTGCTCACTTTGGCAGTACATATAGTATATAAAATTCTTTCTTTACTTCTTTCCATCACACAAACCACTGTCAAAATCATCTGTGGAGAAAAAAATTACTTGTATTTTAGTCTGAATAATGTTAATGTCTTGGCACAATATGTGAATGACTTCCATTTTTTATCCATACTAAAACAGAGCTCTCAACGGGTAGTTTAAAAAAGAATTTCACATTTATTTAAATTTATCAAAAAAATACTTGCTTTTACCTAACCTAAAGTCTAGGTACTGTCTTTTAAACTGACATATCAGTTTTAGTGCTGTTTCCTATGTCTACAACTGAAAGTACACGTAAATATAAATTCAAAAATTCAAACTTGTAATTAACAATCCCAGGCAACCAAGTTTAGTTATATTGGCTCTATAAAATACACATGTGCAAAAGATTTAACAGAGCAGGCAGAGACTGCCTATCCTTAGAAAAGCCTCCCTCAACAGATAAACCTTGGCTATCAGGTGAGAACACAGATTTTAGGAGAGTTCTCACCATTCCAATAATTAATAAGAGCAGCTCACTATTGCTATGTGCCCAAACAATATAGCTCATGCTAAAACACCTTCAAGGAATCTGGAATTTTAGTACATGATAAGAAAAGGGTGCCTATATGGCCAGTCTCCAATAAAAACCTTAGGCACTGAATCTAAATGAACTTCCTAGCAGATATTTCCTTATGTAGTCAACAATTCAATACTGGAGGAATTAAGCATCTCCTGTGTGACTTCTCTGGGAGGGGATCTGGGAAGCTCATGTCTCCTTTCTTCCTGATTTTGTCCCATGCACCTTTTCTCTTTGCTGATTTTGCTTTCTATCTTTTCAATGCAGTAAATCACAGCCATGATTACAAATATACACATAGCCATGATTACAACTATATACACAGCTCAATACACAAATCCTAAGAAGACTTCCTAGAGAATCATCAAACCTAGGAGTGGTCTTGGGAAGCCATGACACAATACACAAAAATAAATGCATTTATGAGGCAAAGCGGTAGCCATATCAATGAAAATTTTAAACAGGGAAATTTAAAGTTGCAAAACTTTTAAAGCATAACTTGGAATTCTAGAATTAAAGGTCATTTATAAAACATTTTTATAAAATTTACCAAAGAAAGAAAAAATATTTTACCAAAAAGCTTGTGGCTTCCTGCATTTTTAGTTGTCTAAAGACAATTGGATTAACAATTCTAGCTTATCTTTATACAGCTATATCAAAGCATACACACTTAAATATGTGTCAGCATATAAAGATAACTTAAGAAACCAAACACTATATGCGCAAGAGGTCATTTTCAAAGTTCATTCTAAATTCAAGAAATTTAACAAATGATTTTACTTATGTCCAAGAGCTATAATAAAACCACAAATATTTCCCAGTAAACAGTCCATATAAAAGATGTTCTAAGGTGTAGCTTCCACTGAAGAAACAAAATCATTAACAAGATTATAAAAGTCACCTGTCACTGATAATTATAACAGAATCAACATGCGAGAAACATTTAGTCAAGAAAAAGAACATAAATATGCATTTCATTTAAAAGATCATACTACTAGGTCTTTAGAGCCTATAGATCTTTCACTTTTACTTAAAAGATCATGAGATGTTAAGGCATCCTACTCAGCTTTATTAAACAATAATGATTTGTTTATCTTTGTTAAATTAAGGAAGAATTACTGTTTACAAATAGATATTCCATAAATATTTTTAGTTACTAATATAAGACATTCAAAAAGAAGGATAACTTGAGCTTTGAAACCCAATTATAATTTGTAAAGTCAGCTACCTTATTCTCTATTTTAAAAATCCCTAAAATTTCACAGAATTTCCTTCATTTACTAATCTTCCTTTCAATAATGCAGCTTTCCTCAAACTTCCATCTAAGAAATTTAGCATTTAATTATTCTTAGCAATCCTCTTAGTTCTCATTAACAACTTTTCCAGCCATTACAGGGTTACTCCTTAATGATATTATCCAGGACTAATGCACTCACAAAGTATCTTAGGGAAAGTCCAGGGATTCATTGTAGGTTGTTTGTTCCTGGGAAGTCTTTTGTTTAGCTATTAGACCTGCAGAGCCAGAACACCAAATTAAAACTATTCCTGTAACCCAGAAGCAATCTATCTATATATTTCATGGCTTTAAATAAACAGTACAGTTACCACACCTCAACCCACTGTGTTTTGCCAGAAAAGGAGACTTCATAAAAGAGAAACTTTGCTTCCTTTGAATGAAAATCAGAATATGACTGAAAGAATGAAGTAACTGCCAAATGATTTCCCTTTTTCTTCTTTCCTATTTCCTTAAAAAGACATGAGTCAACAACTTTAGTTGAGGAGGTAAAAATCTTAATGCCCTAAGAACACAGATACAAACTCAAAACCAACGTTTTACCCTAAATGTTAATGCATCGATTTTTTTAAAACTCTCTCCAGGACCGGGGATTTAACTCAGTGGTTCCGCAGCTTGTCTTGCAAGCGCAAGGACCAGAGTTCGATCCCTGGTACCAAAAAAAAAAAAAAAAAAAACCTATCTTCAAAAATAAAGCAAGTAAGCTGAGTCTGGTGCCAAATGTCTATAACCCCAGCACTTGGGAGGCTGAGATCCTGAGTTCAGAGCCCAACCTGGGCTACCTAGTGATTTCCAGGCCAGCCTTAACTACACACACAGTGAGACCTTATCTCAAAAATACAAAAGGGGGGGAAAAAAAATAAAGCTAAGTGTTCAAAACCACAGGTATTTTCAACCATCTAATTTAAATAGGAATAAAACAATTTCTAAATGATAATACCTTCTCCTGTTTCATTAATAAGCCACTCTACTTTAGAAGTAAATTTACAGTGTTTATATTATCAATAATAACACATGATAAAAATAAAATTTTTACCACCTGTTGCTCCTGTATTGATATACAGCACATTGGAAAGAAAAATCCAATTTCTCCTTACTTAAAAGAAACAATAAAAAAAAATTTTTTTTTTGAGACACAGTCTTGCTAGGTAGTTCAAGTTGTCCTTGAACTCACTATGGAACCCAGGCCAACCTCAAATTCATGCCAATTCTCCTGCCTCAGCCTTCCAGGTGCTGGAATTACAGGCATGCACTACCACACCTGGCAAGAAATCATCTTATTGATAATAACAGTAACTATATCATTTTATTTTTATATCAAAAATTTCTCTCTTGAAAATGAATTCTGCTATTAAATGTACTATTGTTATAAGAATTAAAGAAAAACTCTGAAATGCTTTTTCTTATTGTTTTCAGTTCTTTCCCAAGAACTGAAACTTTAAAGATAGTCTTTTCTATTTTCAACTCTATCTTCAAAGTGAGAAAAACAATTTTTTAAATGGCCTACCCAAAGATAAATGAAAACTATTAAAAGAAGAAAAGGTAACCCCAAGTTAGGTAACTTAAAGTCTAATAAGCCATTTTCCCAACTTATACTTTATACGTTAAGCTTAAAAGAATGTCCTACACTACGTACATCTATGTGGCTAACAGAGATTTCCAACTTCAGGGGGAGTACTATTTCAGAATTATATTAAATGACTACTAATTATAAACAGCAAATATCAAGATTTAAGTAAAATAAAACTCCTGAGCACATTAATCACACAGAAACTAAAAACAGCATTGTAATACTAAAAACTTTTACTTATTAACATTACACACTAAAAACATAAGATAACATATAAACTTCATGTTAAAAAGAACAGGATGACTGCTCAAAAAGAAAGGCTCAAAAGGCATACTACGACATTCAACTACAGAAGGTTCCTAAAACTATAAATTTTACTGAGATTATCAAGCATATAAAAACAAAGGAAATACACTAAATGCAACTGTCATTCACAGTGCTAACCACCTTGTTAATTATGTAAAAATATTGCCAGTGATTCATGGTAATGAGTTTAAAAAAGTATTATTTCTTGAAGAAAATTCACTTTCTCATCTTTAAATAAATACATTATTGTACATTAAAAATTTATAGGTTAATTAGAAGTCAAAGTCAAAAATATAAAATAAAGCATAAAATTTATCAGAGACTGACTTAGAAAGAGGGGAAAAAAAGAGAAAAAGAGAAACTCAGAAAAATGAAGAAAATTAATTTTGTACATTAGTCTCAAATTTTCACTTAAGAGTCATTTATCCTAACCATTTTTCCTATTAAATAAATATAAATTATTAAATGACTGATGTGAAATATTTGGGAGATGGGGCTGGAAATAACTTGTTACCCTCAAGATATATGTGGAACACCTTAACATTTGAAGATATATGACAGCTGATACATTAACAAAACACAAGTAATATTACTTTTCTCTTTTCTCTCTCTTTTTCCCTTCTTTTCAGTAATGGGGATTTAACCCAAGGCCTTTGCACTGACCACATCTCCAGCCCTCTTTTATTTATTTTGTTTCTTCTGAGACAGGGTCTTGCTAAGTCACTAAGTTGCCAGAGCTGGGCTGGAACTTTGAGTCCTCCTGCCTCAGCCTCCCAGAGAGCTGAGATTACAGGTGTACACTGCCACATCTGGCTAATATGACTTACATTTTGAAGAAATATATTCATGTTTAACTAGACTTACATTCTTGTGGAAGAACTCAACCACATATTTATTCTCAAACTACTAATTGGGGAAGCTGATATAAAAAGTTCATTTCAGGGGCCAGGGATTTAGCTCAGTGGCACAGCACCTGTCTGGCAAGCACAAGGTCCTAAGTTTGATCCCTGGTGTAGAGAAAAAAAAAAAAAAAGTTCACAGGCCTGGGATTTAGCTCAGTGCTTCCGCCACCTGCCTCACAAGCACAAGGTCCCGAGTTTGATCCCCAGTACCCCCCCAAAAAAAGAGTTCATTTCATTTACAAATTACATGAGAAAGTAAGATAGTTCTCAAATCACTAGGATAGGATTCATTTGTTAATTCATGTATAAAATTATCACTAGGTTTAATTATAAAAGCTACAATTTTTTTTAAAGAAGCATATCTCAAAAGGTATGCATACATTACATTCTAAAAGTAAACATAAAGGAAAAAAGTTCTCATGTACAAAGAAAGCATCACCAAGGGTCCAAGATTACTTGAAGTTCTCCAAATGAGAGTTCGTTTAGTTAGGGCAATTTTGATTGCCTTCAGATATAAGTACTTTCATGTACAAGTGAAATACATTACAGGATTTGGATCATTTTCTGAAGTACAGTTAGATTCAGATCAGAGAAGCTACAATGGGAATTCCAAAATTCTAAATCCTTCATTCAAATTACCTAAACCAGTGTGAATATTAAAAAATACTGTGGCCTTGTGTGGTAGTCAGCTACTTGGGAGCAAGAGGATCAGCATGAGCAACTTAGCAAGATACTATTTCAAAATAAAATGTTAAAAGCCTGGTGATGTAGCTCACTGCTCCCAGCAATCCTCAGTACCCCACCCCGTGCAAAAAAAAAAACAACAAAAAACAGTGTGAATAGGACATAACAGCTACAAAATAAAGACTAAAAAGAACTGAAAACCTTTGTATCATTATCATATTTAGAAAACTTAAAGATGCAGTATTATCCGAGAAAATTTTCTAAAAATTCTAAAAAAGTAAATTATTTGGATTAATAAATGAAACAGATCCCGTAAACTGTTCAAAGTTTAGATTTAACCCTTTCAATTTAACAAGTCAATGACAAATACAGAACTCTGTGATATTTCTATCTCTAAAAGTTAGGTAAATATATGTCCAAATTTTCAGTATTAAAGATGAATATTACCATAAAATAAGACCTCACTGTAGTAATTATAAATACTTCCACAAATATAATCATTCAAAAGAAATAAAAAGCACCTAAAACTCCAATAAAAACATAATGCCATTTCACTTAGACAACTGTTCAATAAATGACTCAAAAACAAACATACTGATACTTAGAATACGTGAATATTAAAGGAATAAACTATATTTCACTTACTTTGCCTCTTTTTTCCCTATATTTTAACATCTGAATTGGGATGGCCATCAACCTGGTTTTAAGTCATGTTACGGCAGAGAACAGTTATTTTTTTCCTGTCAGTCATTTGGGACAAGCAAGACATTCTGAATTCTTGTCTTGAGGTTTTTTGGATACTACTGGCAGCATGAATTCAGACTGTGAACCTGTATACTGGTTTACACTTCAAACTGCCAGGAAAGATTTTAGTTTTTTTACTCTCTCTACCTGATGCCAAGCTTGAGACATGGAAATTTCATTTTTGTTTTGATTTGTTTGCAGTGCTAGGAATTGAACCCAGAAACTTCATTCTGAGCTATATCCCCAAGTCTTTTTTTATTTTTTATTCTGAGACAAGGTCTCACTAAGTCACTAAGTTGCCCAGGTTGGGCTCAAACTTTCAATACTCCTGCCTCACCATGCCTGGTAGAAGTTTCCTTTCTGTCTCCACTGTGGGCATGTTTACTTCTCATTTATCTTCACATGAAAGGTATAGCTTTCAGGTTTTCAGCTTTATAAGAGGGTCTCCATCTTGGGTGATTACTTTTTGCCCCTGGTGGCTCATAAAATAACAGTGCTTTATAAAACTGATAGTATCTTAGAATTATATGGTAAATCAAATGAAACTGCCACTACCTAAAATAATACTGATAAAAGTAACACATTATTAAATAAATAAGAAAATAAAAACAAAGTGGTAGATACCTGTCATTTGTATACACTCTCAAAAGTCTTCTGTCAACATCACCTTCATATCTAAACCTCTCATCCATTTCTTCACTTATTTCAGGATCTTGGTCTGGTCTACAATACTGTCTATCAAAAACGGGATCCTCATGAAACCTGCAAAATCTTCTTTCTGGAACACCAGCCTTGCTGGCAAACCTCTGATGTTTTGTATTGGAAATACCAACTTTTTCATTAGTTTTTTTAGTAATTCTTTTATTCCTTAATTCAATTTCATCATCCAATTGTCGATATCTGTCCTCCTCTAGCCGTCTTCGGTTTAGAAGTTGTTCATAGGTCTCTGAAGGAGTTAAGACATCTCTCCTGGGACCCTCTGAATTTGAGCAAGATGTTTGTATTTGTGAAGGTAAATCAGATTGAACTTGACTAACAGGATTTTTACTCCTCTGACTCCTGGACTGTTCAATTAAAAAAGGAAAAAGAAATAAATTAATGAGATACTATCTCTTAAAATACAAGTAAAGCCTTAAACTCAACTCTGACATTTAAGCACCTATAAGAAATATTTTTTCTTTAGAAAAAAACTTCAAGGAAAATTTATCTTGCAATAAAACATCAAATATTAATAAACAGATAACAGTAAAATGAATAACTGGCTATAAGAACAGAAGACAAACTAAATGCAAATTCCTATCCCAGGAGATACTGGACATATCTTTGCAGTTAAATATTACTTCAAAATATTTCAAATTAAATTCTTCCTCAACATAAAGAGCACAGAAAGTAAAAAAGTTTTGGCTCTAATAACATCAACCATCCTAAAATTTGGGAAATACATATATATACATAAATAGCTAGAAACTGTCAATATAAAAAAAAATCACTTAAGGGCCAGGGATTTAGCTCAGTGGAACTGCACCTGCCTAGCAAGAGCAAGGTCCTGAGTTCGATCCCCAGTACCAAAAAAAAAAAAAAAAAAATTTCACTTAAAAATTTAAAAATAAGGGCCAGGGATTTAGCTCAGTGGTTCCAGTGGCTCCTGCACAAGTACAAGGTCCTGAGTTCAATCACCGGTACCAAAAAAAAAATTTAAAAACAAAAATTATTTCATAAAACTGATCTCTAAAATTAAATTTCCCCAGTGAGATTACATTTAAAAAGGTAAGATAAATTTGTCAGTATTAGATGAAACAATTTCCAAAATAAATGTTCTGTGTTTGGCTTAATTTTTCAAATATTGACATAAAATCCAGGTCACTTATCTAAAATATAAAAAGCTTTTCAAATAAGTACAAAATATTCGCCCTGGGGTATTAAAACTTTAAAAGTAAAACTCACCTCAGTGCTCTTTTCTACCTGTCTGAACTTTTCACTGGATTCTTCCTTACCCCTGAGAAACTGATTATATTCTTTGTTTCGTTCAAGTTTCAACCTTTCCTTAAAACAGAAATCAAAAAGCAATGCTAACTCCAACTTCAGGAAAAGTTATTTTAATATCAAATCAGAATCATACAAATCAAAGCTTTTACCCAGAACCAAGCTTTACTAATAATTTCAAGGATATAAATCAATACAAGGAACAGGACTAAAAGGGAGAAATCTGACCATCATCACAGCTCCCCACATCTCTTTTGCCACATGAGATATGTATGCTTTGGTCCATGAACATATAAGAACTCTAATTATGGAACATTTCCACTTTATATTACAGTAATTACAGAAATTAGATGACATTTTCCAGAGAGCTATTCCCCATAAATCCACAAACTGCAGATTTCTTTACCAACACAATCCTAGACAAACCAGGTACACCCTGCAATAGCATTGATAAATCTCTTCCATTAGTAAATATGATAACTCCGTTTTCCAGGAAGTCTGTCCTTAGCACATTTCCAAAAACATAGACCCAGTAACATTCATTCTCAAGGACAACTCCTTCTTTCCTTCCCCTAACTCCCAAATCCACTCCCAAAACACCTGCTGCTAATCAATTCCTTCCCAAGATTAAAGAAGGACTCTTGTTATATTTTAAATACAAAAAGGTAAAATTATATACACACTAAAATACTATAATATAAATGTTCTATTAGTACATAAATATTACATTAGGGAATGTTTTTAAATTTTGAATACCACTAATGTCACTGAAACAACATAATCTAAAAGAGTATTAAAGGAATTAGGACTGTATTTTGAAACTTACTATCCTTTTGCTTTACATATTGATCTTGCTTGGAAATTGAGTGTATACAGGAGGTATGTAGTGTTATTGGTGTTATAGTGCTACCACCTCTAAAAAATAGGACTAGAAGCACACATTCAAATAGCTCCAACCCTTACCCTCATAGAAGCTCACTATACTCTCATATCCACTCATTTGACTGATAATTTTGCCTTAGCATAAACTTATTTTTTTTGGTACCAGGGATTGAGCCCAGGACCTTGCACTGGCAAGGCAAGCAGCAGCACCACTGAGTTAAATCACTGGCCCATAGCATAAACTTTGTGGTTCAGAAACTAATGCTGAAAAAAATACATTCTGAATATTCCATTTAAGTATAATCACATATAAAAGAATTAACAAACTAAAGAAATATATCATATTATTATAAGTATGTTCAAAAAACTTTTTAAACAGCACAACTAGAGACTCCATAGATTTTTTTAAAAAAGAAATATATTCTAGTATGGGAAAATATGGTAACCTGTGAGCACTTAAATTAGAAATACAATTTTGATGTCTCAGAAAACTACTACCCACAATAAGTATTCTTACCCACCTACCTTGGCAGATAACCTCTCACCAATAGGAAGAGAAACTCCCAGAGTAGATGAATCTGTTTCACCCATGGATAGAAAATTTTTCTGTATATATACACACATTAAAAAAATATATTACCTAATTGCCTTTGTAAAATATTTCATAAGCATGTATTTACATTCTATACTCTAAACTATTATAGCCTGCAGAGCAAAAGAATGAAATGGAGATGAAGATAGAAACTATGAATCTATAGAGTCCACATCAAAAGTTATTGAAAAAGAAGATAATTTTTTTTACAATCAATAATTCCCTAAAAAGGACAATCTTTTGCATTATATGTATATATGTGTATATATGTGTGTGTATAATATGTAGACATATATATGCATGTATATGTATATATGTATTTGATTCAAGATAATTAAGAAAGCATAATAAATGGGAAACTTTTTCAAATTATATTCCTCTTCTAGGCACATATTCTTTATTCTCAGTGCTCTACTGCTCTTTTGGTCTTAAGGCAAAATTTAAACTTCCTCACAAATACTCTTATGGATTCCCACAAGTTTTTTCTACTTTTCTGTTATGGCTTGTATCTAGATGCCCTCCCAAAGCTTCATGCATTCATAGGTAGAGCTTTTCAGAGGTACCCAGATCTAGGGTGTGTGACTATGGATTAAGGGTGTGATAGCTTAAATTAGTCAACTGATTGGTTTAGCATAGTTCTGAGTGTGGATAACAGGAAAAACCACTCTGGATGTGAGTGGCACCACCCACAAAGGCTTATAGCCTAGATAGGATAAAACAGAAAGGGAGGCTTGTTGCTGTTGCTGTTGCCTCCTGCTTCCTGCCTGCTCTACCATGGACTGCTTTTCTTCTGTGATGCCCCTCTCCTATGTCACCTTGCCTTGAAGACAGCCAACCCTTGCTTGTTTATTTGTTTTGAGAGAGATCCTTGCTCTGTTGCCCAGCCTGGCCTCAAACTCATGATCCTTCTGCCTCAGCCTCCTGAGTTCTGGGACCACAGCCATGTACCACCACAACTGGCTTGAACATTGTTTCTTGAACACTGTTCTAGCTGTGTTCATTAAACATTTAAGTGAGATAGTGCGTAAAGTATTAGACTGAGAATCAAAAGCCCTACATTGTACGACTAGCCCAACTCTTATTAGTTATGCAACACTGAGCAAGTCAGTTAACTTCTCCGATACACTTTCTTTCATAAAATGAGAATGGTACCTGGTCTGACTACCTACCAAAGCTGGTATAAGATCAAGGAGGATTGAGCTGAGCATGGTAGAGTTCACCTGCAATCCCAGCACTATCTAAGGAAGATCAACCACAAGTTTAAGGTCAGCTTGGGCTACAAAATAAGTTCAAGGCCAGGCTGAACTACAAAAGGGAGACTCTGTCTCAAAAATAAATAAATAAATAAATAAGGACCAAGGGGGATTAAAAAAAAAAAAGTAAAATCTCTTTGAATACTATAAAGCAAATACACGAGATAGTGAAAAGTATATGCAATCGCCAATTTTTTGGTACTCAAATTGAAATAAGCTACTTCTATATCTCAGTATCTTCATCTATAAAACAGGGATAATATCATCTGCATCACTAGGTATGAAGATTAAATCAATCAATACATGTTAGCCTGTCTAGCTCTAGGCCTTTATTTATTAAACAATTACAGGGCCGGGGATTTAGCTCAGTGGTTTCGCCGCCTGCTGCACAAGCACAAGGACCCGAGTTCGATCCCCAGCACCAAAAAAAAAAAAAAAAAAAACAATTATCAACCATCTAATGCTTTTCAGGTACTATTTTTGATGAAAAGGAGACAATGATTAAGCCTATGTTCTCTCTACTATGTTCCCTCTATACAATTCAATTAGGGAAACAGACATTTAAACGAATAACTGCAATACAATATACTAGGTCTACTACGATAGCACTATATTCAAAACATTATGGAAACAGTGATTAAAAAAGCATAGTGAGTCTGGTCATTCAAGAGATGCAAATTAAAACAACACTAAGAGTCCATCTCACTCCAGAAAGAATGGCTATTATCCAGACACCAAGCAATAACAAATGTTGGCAGGACTGTGGGGAAAAGGGAACTCTATTATTGGTGGGAGTATAGACTGGTGCAACCATTGTGGAAATCAATGTGGAGGTTTCTCAAAAAACTAAAACTAGAGGTTCTATTTTACCCAGCTATTCCCTTTTTTAGTATCTTCCCAAAAGAATTAAAAGTACCATACCACAGCAATATATGCACACTCATGTTTATAGCAGCACAATTTGTAAAATGCCCACCAATGGATAAATGGATAAAGAGGAAGTGGGGGATTTTTATACAATGGAGTACTACTCTGCCATAAAGAAGAATAAACTTAAGACATTTCTAGGTAAATGAATGCTTGAGATCATACTCCTAAGTGAAATAAAGTCAGACATATATGTTTAAATATCAAGTTGTTTCTCTGGTGTGAGAAACCAAAAGGGTAAATAAGGACCAAAATGTACAAAAGATATTAAGAAAAAGGAAGAAAATGTTCAAATGGGAAGGTGAAGGGGAGAGGGGTGAAAGGAAAAAATGGAAACAAAGCTTTTGTAAATAAGGAGGGGAAGAGGGGTTGAAGAGAGGGGAGGGGCTTGGGGAAAAAAGAAGAATGAAGATATATTATGTACAGGTACAGATTCCCTATGGTGAACAGGATCAATATGTATATCTAAAATGTACCAATAAAATTAATTTTTAAAAAAGAAAGCATGGTGATTAATAGTTTCATTAAATCTGAATTTACATACTAGCTGTGCTATAAAAGCCAATTTGAAAATTAGCTGCATAAAACTCCAAATTTCTTTGTCAAAGGAAATAAGATACACAATTAGATGCTTAAATCAGTTTACCCCATATATATCAACATACATTACAAACCTAATGTTTTTTGTAGAGCTATAAATACAAAAAAAAACATTCAGAATTGTAACTGGAAAGACAGTTATAAATCTTTACTCCTTCACTGTCGCTTCTTTACCCTCAACATAGGTCTCTGGTAATGTTTAAACTTTTCAATAAAATGAAAAAATAACAAAGACAAGGTCATTTTCCAAAAAGTTTAGTCATTCTCTCATTCATTCAAAAAATACTGCCTGCCTGCTATTTGCCTACACAATTTGATACATTTAGGACTTATTGGTATATCAGGAAGTCATAATTGCTGTGGCCAAAGAAATAATGAATAAAAGACAAGTTATAGATAATGCAGGCTTCCAAGGGATGAGAGTGGGAAAAACAGAAATCAAGAGTTCCTTTTCAGACATGGTTAGATGTTCTTAATACGTAAGCCATCAGTTATATTTCTAAGCAAAAACAGCAGGTAGGCAAACAGAAAGTGTGAGGTTCAGGGCAGTGGTCTGGGCTAGAGACATTAATTTGCTGATTCAATCTAAAAACTGTTTTTCTGAGAATATGTCCTTGCTGTATTGTTAGATGGTCAAGCATCCTTTATTGCAAAAACTGGAAAGTTGACTGCTTGTTCCAATGGCTTTTCTTGGCAAAATTAAAAGATTTTATTTGTTAAATTTAAATATCCATATAATTTAGCCAGGCATGGCAGTGCACACCTATGATCCCAGCACTCAGGAGGCTGAGGCAGGAGAATCACTGAGAATTCAAGCCTGAACTACATAGTGAGACCTTGTCTCAAAACACCAAAAAACAAAATCAAAAATGGACAAAAAGAAAGATACAATCTAAAAGTCTGGAAGCCACAAGAGATTCAGGAATGTTACAGGGAAACCACACATATCCTAGAAGCTACAAGAAGCTACAGCCACTTTCTCATATCCTGTGTAATTTTATCTCTTCCTTTCCTTCCAACCCCCACCTTTTCAAATACCATCCAAAGATTGTCTGTTTCATTTCAAAGAAATACTGCTCCTCTACCATGACTACATTTTTAATAATTCATCATCAAAAAACTCCTTCACATTCCTTTAAAGATTTGTGTCCTGGATCTCTCTCACTTTCATAAAGGCAATTTCTTTTTATACCCCCTTGATGTGATTACAGCCTTTCTGGCTGTAACTGCCATTTTGGCTACCAGGTAACCCTGGCATGAATCCCAAGATCTAACAGACAAAGTCTTTAAGGTATTAAACTGAGCATGTTGTGTCAATGACTAACACTAAGACTACGTCTTAATTGATATTACAATTGTTTTGTTTGTTTGTTTTGGGTACTGGGGATCCAACTCAGGTCCTTGAGTTTGCCCAGCAGGTTGGGGG